TGTGTGTGTGTGTGTGTGTGTGTGTGTGTGTGTGTGTGTGTGTGTGTTCGTTCTGAAAAGCGAAAATGTTCTACCAAAGTGAAAAATCTGCTCACACAAGGATACGATTAATTAATCTGACAAACTCTGGAAAAACAAAGAATGCGGCTATGATGTTACTGGAATGACGGTCAGCTGATTGTGTTGAGTCCTCTAATGTCACCCTGTGTGTTCAGGTTCGTTGTCCATATCCTCTTTGTGCCCTCCTTCAACGTCACCCTGTCAACGCTACAGTTCTCTGTCTGTAATAATTGTCTCTCCTCACTAGATGTGGAAGTGCAGAGAATGAAAAAGGCAGTTGAGTCGTTGATGGCGGCCAATGAGGAGAAGGTACAGTTGACCCATTGTAAAGTGATTCAGCTCTCCTGGAACATTTGTGGTTTTAATTGTCTTTGACTTTGCAGGATCGTAAGATTGATGAACTAAAGCAGTCGCTGCTGCGGTATAAGAAGGTTCAAGAGATGGTGATGTCAGTGCAAGGGAAGAAAGGTGAGATGAATGACATTTATGTGATGTCTGAGATTAAGATCTGCCTCAAAAGCTATGATGCTATGTAGTTGATTTTGCCTGGTTTAGCCCATTAACTGCATTTTATGTACACTTAACTTTACTGTAAGTGCTGCTTTCTGATACACTCGTTCGATCATCTTTCTGCAACACATTTCATTTCAGCTTGTCTAGAGATAATAGACGAGGTTAGTCTTCTCAGATAGACTTTTTGTCTGTTCAGAGGTTTGATCGATGCTAAATAAAACGGCCGATTCTGAAATTGCACATGTCAAAGTTTGTGTATTGTGCATCTTCATCGAATGTCTACTCCAGAGAAAAGCAAAGATACCGAGCACATCGAGAGTCATGGTGATGAATCCATTGCATTCTTTTCAACCGACGCTGTGTTTGCGGAGTCAGTAAAGTATGAAGTTACAGATGTTAACCAACTGAACAGGAGGAGCCCAGATGAGGTTTGTGTGCCATAATGTGTGTGTCACAAATACTAGCATCTAAAAATCAATCTTAACAGTTGCTAGAGTATTTAAACAGTATAGCAAATTAGATACTTTAAACCATAAAATCACAAGAAATGTCATTGTTGATGTTGAGATGTAAACCTCAGATTATTGTAGGTTGTGTTATCTTTCTAATTTATTGCTAATGAATACTATTGACTCTATTGATCAAATGTTTTCCCCTCAATAACCTTCATGCTCAATAAAACAGCAATAGCTCACATAGATTTCACACTTGTTAATTGAGTGTTGACGAGTTCGACAACCAATTAAATGAATAACATCGGCTGTCAGTTCTCTAAGCATGTGTGGAGATTAATAGACTGCTGTAGTCGCATGGCTGCAGAAGAATATGCAAGTTCATTTTTTTTAAGACTTTGATTTTAAAAAGGGTATTTTCTTGTGTATATTTCTGTCCTTGCTCTGATCTGTGTCTAGTTGGAGATCCTCAATGGACTGAATGAAGAGCCTTCACCCACACCTTCAGATCCAGAAGCAGCATCAGAGTCGGCACCAACAGATGTGGAAAGGTTAAATATAATTGCTTCAGTCATACAGAGTGTGAGAAAGTGTCTCAGTAGCATTCTTTAAGTTCCACACGATGAGGAGATTTGTGTAACAGCAGTTCGTATTCTATAGCCCCAGACTGCTGCTGCTAATGACTCACTATCTCTACTGCACTGCCATGAGTTAAGTGTGCATTGTTATGGTTTGGCATTTCAGCAGCCGAGATGCTACAAAGACTGTCAGCCAGGACCAGCTGGATAGGAGCAATAATCAAAAGGTAAAAGGTACTCATTTAAAAGTGGGGGGGTATGTTTGATTATAAAAAATGAAAAAAAACTTTGGCAAAAATGTTAATGCATACCATTACTTCCCAGGAAGTTGTTTTGTAACAAATACAAGTAGCCTTTCACCTTCACTAAAACGTCTCTTTGTTACACATCTCACTCATTCACTCTCTCGTCTTCTCTTTGCCTCATACTGTTTATAGTTTGTAAAATGCATCGTAGTGTTTGTAGCCTTTTAGAATATCCTACATGTTGTGTGCAGTCCACATTCTTAATTCTCTTTCTTTACAGTAAAAGTTACAATATTTTAATATTTGGCTACAAGTGTAGCATGTTAGACTTGACCAGTACTTGTAGGCCAGTATGTATGAACATGACAGTCATGTAGGAGTAATGTTTTATGTCCTCAAGAATGCCAGGGAAGAGATCAGTGCAAAGCCGCCCATGAGTCCCTCGGCCACCTCGCCTGCCACCACAGAGGAAGACAGCTTTGGCTCGAGAAAGGCTCGTTCATCCTTCGGAAAGGGCTTCTTCAAGATCCGTGGGGGCAAGAAGACAGCCAGTACCCCTAACCTCGGTAATGATTGAGCAGCCAGACGAGTCCTAAAGGTGACTCGCTCTGTATTTGATGCCATTTCGACATTAAGATAGCAGCCGTGCAAAATTTTAGCGACTGTTCACTAGAGAGTGAGATTTTCTTCCACCATGAACGACTTTTTTATTTTCCCAAGCCACACCCATGGAGCATACTATATGGACCAAGACCGTAATTTGCAGCCCACACAAACTGTGGTCCCCATTTAATTATGGAAGTCTGTTTCTGTGCTGGTGCATACCCTTCCTTCTGTCTGGGTGTTTTGTGTGTGTGTATTGTACACATGCATGTCTGCGTTCGTTCCACCTCTACAGTCCTGTTCTCATTTCAATCATAATGTCTGCCCTTTGTCCTGTTCTTTTTCTGTCGGACCCTGTCGTGTGTTGTGTGTGCTTTGTAACACATGAAGACCGCAACCGGAGTGCAAGTGCGCCTATGCTAGGTACAGTATAGACCACAGCTCGTGGAAGGGTTGAAGACCGCAAAGGAAACAGCTGATTACATCCTATATTGCTGTACACCTTTTGCCCTTTCTAAACTCATCCATCCAGCTGACATCTTTTTATCGTCCCGTCTCGGTGCTTCAACAGCCACGCCCTCGTCACTACCCATTGTTGCACAAATGTCCAGCACACAGTTGTTCATTTGCCTGTGTGCCTGCATGTATTTGTTTACACTCTTCTTTTTCCGTCAAACCCTTCCCCAAACACACGTCTGTTTCAAGATCCAGATTATCAGATCAAATGATTTATTTGGATCTTGAAGTCCTCCCACAAAAAAATCTAAAACAAAACTAACGAGCCTCCTTTTTTTATCTAATAAAATACGACTATTTTATTCCAGACTTAGTCAGACATTGGCTGTGTCTGATGCATGCACACTAGTGAAGGTATTGCTTTTGATGCCCACCGCCATAACCTCTCATTCTGTCTAGGTCTAGGAGACATCGTGTGTCCGTCTGTGGTTTCTGGGTCTCTACACTGACCCTGTGCAGCAGCTCCGTCTCCGCTGATCCGTGCACGTCTCCCACACTGATTCTCAAGGTGCTGATTATTTTCTGTGGGCATTTGTTTGTACAGCTGAAACGGAGCGACAGGGCACGGACCATCTGGATCTGGCCGGGCTGCCACAGAGGTCGGCTAACAGCGACAGCACCAACACGCTCTCTACGACCCCAGAGAGCAGGAAGAAATCCAAAGGAATAAAGAAACTCTTTGGGAAGTGAGTAGATAATAACACATAGAAAGTTACATATAGGATCTTAAGCTCTTGATTTTAGAAAAAACTTCTTTAAATGCATTTAGAATAATGCCTATAAATGTTTATATGCAACACTTTCAGATTCAGTTAGAAATATGAAAAAATGTGCAAAGAATTTAATCACAAAGGCCATAATTTGATTGTGGGGATGTTTTAACATGTGGAATTGAATGTCATATTTTTAAGGCTAAAAAGGAGTCAGTCTACCACGTTTAACCTGGATGACAACCTACCAGAAGGTGACTTCAAGAGAGGTGGAGTGCGAGCCACAGCAGGACCTAGATTGGGTTGGTCTCGTGACCTCAAAAGAGAAAACAAGTAAGTCTGTGCATTCAGCCTGAATGAAGAGACTCAGTGTGTGGTTTGCTTGCTTTGAACCTCTGGTGTACAATGAAGTTCAGAAACCATGAGAGGATTTTTGATAAAGCAGTTTTTGTTTGCATAACAAAATGCATATTCTATACTCACAATTTAAACTTGTATTTGTTTGTTTCTTTTTTTATACCACTACAAGGGTGTCCCTGCATACCTTTGTGAAAGTTTTGACTTTCTGTTCATTTACTTCTTTCATTAGCGATGTTGATGCTCCTTTTGCACGCTGGTCAAAGGATCAGGTGTGCGACTGGCTGCAGGGCCAGGGTCTCGGCCTTTATGTGAACATGGCTCGTGTGTGGATCTCCTCCGGACAGACGCTGCTGCAGGCCTCACAGCATGACCTGGAGAGGGTGAGATGAAGCAGAATAATTTAATAAGTTTAGCAAAGCTGGCAGACTGGCCAATCATTCTTGTTGTTGAACTTACTACAGAACGGAGTACCTCAGATGATGTCTGTGTAATCTTTACTTGTCTTCTTGTGGATGTTTAGGAGCTGGGCATCAAACACCTGCTGCACAGAAAGAAGCTGCAGCTGGCTCTGCAGGCCCTGGGCTCAGAGGAGGAGGATAATAAGGGAAAGCTGGACTACAACTGGGTGACGAGTGAGTACCAGCGAGTTATCAATGATCTGCTGGTCAGAGGAACTCTGAAGCCATTTTGGGGCCAATTTTCTTTGTTTTTCTTCTTCTTGACCAATTGTACTCTGTTATATTTAACTGTTAACTTGACTTTTTCCTTATGACATTTTGCTCTTTCTGTTCACTGTCAGGATGGCTGGATGACATTGGTCTGCCTCAGTATAAGACCCAATTTGATGAGGGGAGGGTGGATGGTCGCATGCTGCACTACATGACAGTGGTGAGTGTTGGCGAGACACATGGGCTCTCTGCACAGACCTCGCAGAGAAGGTCTGACGACTCCAGTGCCATCTCGCATTAGGAGTATTGCATACAGAGTCAGACGAGCTCCACCGGGGATTGCCTGGTCTCACCCTCCCTATTTGGGACAATGCTGAAGTCACACCACAGTATATACCTCTAGTTTCAGGGAAGGTTCATTTTTCCAGAAAAAATCTATAACGTGCTTTTAAAATATATACTTTGTCACAGCTTCAACTGAACTTTGCTTTTATTGTTCGAATATTACATTAAGTCATTGATGTCTTACGTTGTTCCTCAGGATGACCTGCTTTCTCTGAAAGTGGGGAGTGTCCTGCATCACCTCAGTATCAAGAGAGCTATCCAAGTGCTCCGACTCAACAACTACGAGCCCAACTGCTTGCGTCGTAGGCCGTCTGACGAGGTGCCTTCACTTTAACATCACCTGAGTAATAAGCAACCTGTTTCAAATTGCACAGCTGTGTGTGTGTGAGATCATAATCCGTTTCTAATTAGTGTTTGTTTGCATTCTTTTTTCTGTGAATTGTATCCGCAGAACAATATTTCTCCAGCAGAGATTTCCCAGTGGACCAACCATAGGGTTATGGAGTGGCTGCGGTCTGCAGACCTTGCTGAATACGCTCCCAACCTGAGAGGCAGCGGCGTGCACGGAGGCCTGATGGTGAGAGAGTCTGGCGCTCCAGTCTTCCTGAGGAACAGAGGTTCTCTTCTGGAAGTATCCACTCCTAATACATTTCCTCTCTCTTCAGGTTCTGGAGCCACGGTTCAACGCGGAGACCATGGCTTTGCTGCTGAACATCCCCCCCAACAAGACGTTGCTACGCCGTCACCTCGCCACACATTACAACCTGCTCATTGGCTCAGAGGCCCAGCAGCTCAAACAGGAGTGTCTAGAAAACCCAGACTACACTCTGCTAACTGCCACCACGAAGGTCAAGGTAACGCAAGACTTCTCGAGGATAGACCGACTGCGCTTCAAAATAGTACCGCTCGAACTTCTCTAACAGTGGTTACAAGGGTTACCTTGTAATACTGAATAACCAAGAAAATCTAAACTTTGTATTTTACATAATGATTTAACATTTTTGACATTTTATTAACGGTAAATTATTCTGACTCTTTAAACTCTTAACCTATCTAAACAACGTTGGATTAGTGGATGTCCGATCAGTTTTGATGGGACAACAGAACTTCCTCGTTCGCTCGGCTTGTATCGCAAACTAGCTACAGTAGGTCTCCAACAGCAACAATGGCATGCCAAAATATGAGTGCAGAAGATGTTATGGAGGATACATTTTACAGGGTTTTGGCTGACTCAGATATTCAGCTGAGTTTGAGCCAGATTATGCGGCTGAAGAAATGCATGTGAGAGCTAGTTGGATGCCGGGACCCCTCTTGGTACGTGTAGGCACTGCCGGCACGAGAACTCCGATTTCTCCGTCAATATAGCGCGCACTAGCAAGAATTAATATGTATTATATATTTAAAATCAACACTGATTGGACATGCATATAAAAGGTGGCACATTTTCCCTTTTAAATTTTAAAAGTTTGTTTACATTATACTGCAATTGGGTATTCACAAGAACCTGGTAACAAGTTATTGAAAGGTTTAAGATTTGAAAACATTCCTGCATATCTAAGGGTAGCTTTATAAAACGTATATACTTTATTTCCTTGTCTTCTCTCTCCTCGTTCATACCAGCCAAGAAAACTGTCATTTGGTAACTTTGGCAGTCTGAGGAGGAAAAAGCAGGAAGAGACGGAGGAGTACGTGTGTCCGATGGATGTGGAGATGCCAAAGGGACGAAGCTTTCAGAAAGGCTTCGAGCTCCAAATCTACGAGGACGACATGGACCGGCTAGAACAGGTGAGCTAGTTCTTCAAAGGGACTGTTAACTGATGATTTTATTTATACCCAACAATCATACAACTTAAATCTATGCGAAAGGTATTTATTGTGTGCATTATATGGAGAGGAAAAAAAACACTCCCAATTTTAATGAGGTTTGGTCTTATGTTGTTTTTTTATTGTGTGTAAATTGTCACCAGTGTTGCTTAGAAGGTGGGGTTTGTTTTCCCTGAAGATCTTTACTCAGTAGTAGTCTGTACAACCTAGGTTTCCATACTCTATTGGGGGTTTCAGTTATTTGAGTTTGAAAGCTGCTTCCTGTTTCACAGATGGAGGACTCTGAGGGAACTGTGAGACAGATCGGAGCTTTCTCTGAGGGTATTCAAAACCTGACGGTAAGAATTTCATATTGACCAGGACTCAAAGCACGCTGTACTCATTGATAATATTGTTTCACAAGCTTATTATATTGTTTTCTATATTGTGCCTTTTATCAGAGCATGTTGAAAGATGATGAGTTCTTCAACGAGGCGTCAAATTCACCAAACCCCAGTGTAACGGACGAGGACTCCACCGCATGAGAGCGTCGGCACCATGAGACCGGGTCCTGCTGTGAATGAAACTCTGTGCCAATCCTCTCCACTCGCACAGAGACTTGTCTCGACAAACCCCAACAATGCTCCCACATTTCTTCTTAGTGTTACATTCAAAGATGAGCCAAAAGTATTAGTGTTTTTTACTTTGTTGTTTAGTTTTAAACGATGGTGTTGTGACAGCCTACAGTCCAGAGTTAGCCACTATATCACTCATGAACTTTGTCTCCGTTACTGGCGTCTGATGACAGCTCGGGAACCTTTAGGGCAACACCACTGCTTGCCTACCAGCTGGTTTCTGGAGATATTTTGTACTCTGTTGTGTACTGGCACATTTCTATTTATGATAGAACGGAAGTGTCAACCAGCAGAAAAAGTATGCCAATATAGATTTTAATATATGTCTTTTAAATTCCTTCCTGACTGAAAAAAGAAGTGATATGCTGAGAAGATTTTCCCATTTTTAGAAGTTGGTGTAAAGTAATAACTCCGAAACAGCTGCTATGTTTTCTACAGAACTAAACCCTGCTAATAACACAGGAATTGTCATATATTTTATTTTACAGGTTTTCACTCAACAGTAATATTCGACATGTATTTGCACCAATGCATATCATACAACACAATGCCTAATGAATAATCATTGCATGGTATTGGAATTCAACACATTTACAGTATATAAGTTCTTGTTTTTAATTTTTTTTTATTTTCTACTATAAATAGATTTTTAATGGAACCCGTATTTTGGAAAGCGTTGTTGCATATTCAGATTTGTGAGCTAACATAATGTCTGATTTATTCGAAATAATAATGTTATAATGCAACCCTTGGTCATACATGTTTTGTTTTTTTACGTTTATTCGTTTCTTAGATCAATAAAGTTATTTAAATCATTTGGGATTTTCGTCAAAAATGTAGCAGTCCAGCTGCAAAAAGTCGCCGGTTAGTGTTAGTTTCAGAGAAGTTGTCGAGTGAAAGTGGAAATCTTCTGATTATCAAACAGATTGTTTTTGGTTAAATGAAGATCTAAATGATGAACCTGGGGACAAAACGCAGCAGGCGTGGAATCATCAGGTCCTTCCTGAAAGCATGTCTAATCTCAAAATGCATTGAGTCCAGATCAACCAATGCCATGTTTTAGTCTTTGGCAATTTAATTAAAAACAGCTTTTTGGGGAATATCCAGCATGTGAGCACATTTGCAAAAATAATAAAAATCTCAAAGTTGGATTTTGGCTCAAGGTCTCATGACATGTTTGTACAGTTAGCAAATAAATTCATAGATGTGCACACGTGCAAAGTTTAACCAGTACCATGCAGAAGACACTGCCCATATGGGTCATCCACCACAAATAGGGTAATGTGAATAGGATAGAAGTGCGTGTAGTACGTGCTTTGAGGGTGACCCTAATTAGAGTGACAGCCTGCTGTGTTAGTGTTTCTCCATTGGTTTGATCCATTTAACGAGAGCTCGAATTAAAGTCGCAAACGTTGGACCTCCCTGCATTTAATTCATTGGCCATGGAACGAGATGGAGAACCCATGCTTTCTATGTTACAGCGGTGCAAGAAAGCTTGTGTGAAAACAGAAGATCATTCCCTTCTATCTTGTTAAAGTTGTGATCTCTGCGTCACCATCAGTCGCCTACATTTGTAGTTGATTATTAAACGCATTTGGCAGAAGAGATAGAGCGCCCCCTGATGGCTATACAGTCAAAACGTAAACATCAGCGCGAGTTGGTTCACAGTCGCCCATGCGCAATTAATGGACACGGACAAGCCCTGCAGGATATGAAGAGCGGGTTGAGACTGGACTGGAAACAGACACGAGAGCACTCTGCAGTCTGAGCTATCGGAGTGAAGGAGCATCATGGCTGCAAGGTGTGTACTTTTTATTTATTTTTACCAATTGCTAATAAAATGAATTTCATCTCTGTAGTTAAGTTTCTTAAGTTAGTTTATGACCGTAGACATCAACAGGTATTTTTTTTTTTCCATAATGCTCTCGGCAATTGTTTTTATTGTAATAGTGTTCTTTTATCGCCACTCTTTGATGTATTTATAGAGAATGTGTTTAACGTGTGGTGTACAGGTTCTGTGGACTCCTCGCCCTTCTGTGTCTCGGTGGACTGGATGCATCGAGGTACAGTAGACGATCGGAACGTTCCTCACGACTTACTGCGTTTATTCAGTTTGACAGTATTCCTCAGTTTTTCTCTCACACCTGACTTTGTGTCACAGACCAGCTGTAAACCAGGAACTGTCCACTATTTTCAATGAGCTGTGGGTGTTGGATGTGAACCGCATGACGCCTGCGACGGACTACACGATCTCTGTTCAGGTACGAAGCACATTCTTATTCTGACAACACTCGGGCTGTCTCCTGTTTTCACAAAGGTACATTCTGTGTTTGGACTCTCCAGGGTAGAGCCAGTTTTGTAAACCAAGGCAGCCATGTTGTACGGGATCACGCTTCACAGCCTCTGTTCTCCAATGTTAACGAGACCAAACTAACGAACACAACCACCTACTCCCGTAAGTGTCTCTGTAACAGACACAAAAATCCAGCTCATTTGCAGACTTCACTGTGATAATTTCAACTTTTTTTTCTTCCCCTGCAGTGTTCATAAATCTCCTGGACAACTTTGAGCGGTCCACAGGCGTGGCTGAACGAGTCACAACAGAGGAGCTGACGGAGATTAATCTCTTCCTGGATGCTGTCTTGGAGACAGAAGTCATGAAGGTACAGTTGACATGTTACAACCAGTTGCATCTACCCAGCCATGTGTTTTGACAACTCTGTTAGTTTATGTTGCACAACACCTCATTCCTTGCACCTTTTTGTTTGGATGTCTTCCCAGAGTAGGAAGATGACTTGTATAATACATTCAAAGTTGTTTTTGTTCCAGTTTGTTGTTTCCCCACGTTTTGAGAGTGCAGATGAACTCCAGGAAGAGTTTTTTTCCGTTACCAGCCACACTGCAGCACTGAACACATTACTTCAGGATGTTGGAGAGAGAAAAACCTCCGTGTGCAGCTGTGGAATGCTTAGTTGGCCTCAGTTGCTCTCCCCAAAGAGGATCGGTTGGGAAGAACATGCAGTCCTTGTTAGATGGACCTGATGGCTGTAGTTGATGTCAGGACTTAAGTTTTTTGCAGAGGACAATAACATCTTTTCGTATTTTGTTCCCTCTTGTTAATCAAGCTTCTTATAAGATCTTCCCACACCAACAATGTTTGTTACATACACAATCATGGACAGTACAGTTTGCAGTGGAGTGCTTAGTAACAATCTCTGTAGACTGTGTATAACGCAGGCGTAAGCAAAGAGAAAAAGATATATATATATATATATATATATATAACATGTACAAACATTTTTAAGAGAACATTTAAGAAAATAAAAAAAGATAATGGACATACAGTAAATATGCAAATTTTGAAGTAAAGTGATAATAGCTCTGGGAATTATCAAAGGACTGTATATAGTAGAGTAGTACTGTGTCTAAATACTGTTAAATATACTCTGAAGTATTTCCTCGGTGAGTGACAGAAAGTCTGTTTCTTGTACATTGAATAAGTCTTTCAACAAATACTGAAGTTCAATACATTCTATATCATGTTACCATGTTAACACTAAAAGGCCTCTTTTAATTTTAACTGTTTTAAAAAGATTTGAGAAGAGATAAGTTAAAACGTGTATCTCAAGGTTAAAAACAATTAAATATAAGAATACATCTGAATGTGGATTATGTTTTTCCTCATGCCTGCTTGTTCTCTGTATTGGGTCAGCTCAACAGAGCTGTACGTCATCATTGTGATTTGTCCACAGAGGGCTCATCGGTACCTGGTGAGCAAAGCACAGTCCAGCGCTGACCTGAGGCACTTTAAGAGTCAGCTGTATTTGATCTGGTTCCACCTCTACCACAGGCGTAGGAACACAGGGTGAGATGCCCAAACAGCTGCAGATGATCGTGTCCGATTGTTGAATTCATTAGAGAATCTGTGTGTGCACCGAAAGCAATCGAGGGATTTTCTCTGATTGTGTAAAAAGTTATGTAATTGTTTCTAAGTAATATTTTATTTTGTTTGGTATCTCTAAACTAAAACATTCACCAGCCTGGACTCCTGTGGATTCGAGCATGTGTTCGTTGGAGAGACGAAATCTGGGACAGAAATCATCGGTTTTCACAACTGGATCCAGTTCTACCTGCAAGAAAAAAACTTGCACTTGGACTACAAAGGATACAAGGCCAAGGATTATGACTTAGTGAGCCTTTCTTTCTGTAGCAGCTTGCATGGTTTTCTTTATTCCTTTATTCTACTAAAGTAACGTTCATGTGTTTCTGCCCTCAGCCCGATCAAGACGACCACGTTCTGAACCTCCAGTTCAGCTGGCACGGTTTGGTGAAGCCCGTTGGCAGCGCCTTCATCGGGACAAGCCCTGAGTTTGAGATGGCGCTCTTCACCATCGTCTTCCTCATGAACACAGAGAGGAGCACCACAGTGCTGGTCAACATCGACCAGTGTCGGATGGAGCTGGTGGTCATCAGACATGGACGCTCCCTCGGGACGGCGTACCCAAAACTGCTCAGCAGCAACGGCAGACATGTTAGGCCGCAGCACTCGCACTGATGTGGAGTATCTACTGACCCAAAGTGATACTCATATTATAATGTTCATGCCCAACAAGCTGAGGCACAAATGTACTGCGGTTTAGTTTAGATGCCACAGACCTTCTTAGTATATGACATGTGTAAACATCTGTAATTTTTATCAAGACAACTGTAAACTTGATTCATTTGTCATAAAAAAGCTATTTCAATAAAGTTAATTGATGGTTTTGAAAGTCAACTATTTGGTGTATTTATGAAATGTCCTTTATGCTTTGAGTTTATATTAAGTTAAGTATCAAGTAAGTCAAATTCAAGTCCAGCTCTGATTGAGTTTCTGAAGAAGTGCAGTGACAGCAGAAGTTTCACCAACCTGGACAAATCAAACGAAGTGAGAAATATATTTCATTTAATTTTGTTTAAATGTTTTTGTATTTACTAATTCTCTCAATTGGCTAGTATTTGGCCATTTTCAGTTGTAGTAATAAACGAAAACATTACCACAAATCGAAATACACACAAGTAAAGCACCAGTACTTTGAATCCACAATACCTGTCTATATGTACCTACTAGGCACATTTGGCAACTCAAATTTGTTTGTGCGATGAGTTAATGCTGATGTTCACAAACACTTGCCAGATAACTATACCTACAAACATGCATACATTGATCTCTACACTATAATCTCTCTAATTATTGCAAAAGATCGCACGACTTTTTTAAGGAAAAGACGGAAGGCGGAACACTTTCTTCTGTTCCGCCCACACGGACGTTTTACAGTGGAACACATAAGAGTTCGCATGCTGCAGCGACTTCCGACGACACAATTATATCAACATTGACAGTATGAGCAGAGTCGTGTGTGTTTGCTGTTGAACAGTGGAGATAACCATGGAGGTACTCGGAGGAGAGTTTAGTGACATGACTCCTCAGGAGCTGGCGGCTCCTGTCAACACTATAGCGGTGAGTCGGGAGGAAATAAAGACCGAAAGTTCCACGCCACGAGTGGAGAAGCTAACGTTAGCATGGTGGCTATCACGACAGACAAAACATAACAAACAGCTTGTGGAGAGCTAACGCTATATGAACCGAAACCACAGACGGGGTGTCAGTTGTAGAGTCACACGTATTCATATTGTTTTCGGGGGAACTCTCAGTTTGCAAATTGAAGATATTTTGATAACTTTAACTTGCGGTTGCAGAATATAAAGTGTTTCAAGAAAAGTGCTCTCACTGCTGGTTAATGACAAGAGTCCAGTAAAACCTGACGTGTTGTTTTATGTCTTTTTTTTTTACAGGAAAAATGGAAACTGTTACCGGCCTTTCTAAAGGTAACAGACCAACCTTCATCCACCTGCTGTTTACCCCAAATATCCCCTGCTGAATGTTATCCTACACGTAGTCTATAAATCCTCTATCATGGTATATGTTGGATGAAATGATCAGAGGGTAGATGATCAGAGGGTCTGTCTTTAATCTAGTGAATGAAATGCTTCACGTTAATGCAGTAATTACACTATAATCATGGATTTGCAACCTTGCCTACAATAGCCCGACACACTCGGAAATATTATAGGGGTAGATGCTGATAATCTGCAATTAAATGGTTTTATTTCCATCTTTTCTGGTCACAAGAAGGTACTTGATAAACTAATCGGACTAATTATTTCAGCACTACATACATCACAAACTGACATTTTTACATCTTGACTTGTTCAATCCGTTCTCCAGGTGAAAGGGCTGGTGAAGCAGCACATCGACTCCTTTAACTATTTTATCAATGTTGAGGTAAAACACAACTCCAACTTGAATGTGTGTACAGCTGTATCTTTTTGTATATATGTTCATGTTGTTTATGTCTGGTTTGCCAGATAAAGAAAATAATGAACGCAAACGAGAAGATCACAAGTGATGCTGATCCAATGTGGTACCTCAAGTGAGTCCCGTGAACATCAACGTTTGGGTTAACCGACAGTAATCTAACACTGCAGACATACATGAAGCGGCTTGTATTGAGAATATTGAATGATGTTATTAATATTTATGAATGTTTTCTTTGCAGATACCTCAATATCTACGTTGGCATGCCTGATGTTGAAGAAAGCTTCAACGTAACCAGACCAGTATCTCCTCATGAAGTGAGTTTAGTTTGTTGTGTAATGTTATGAACCTTTGTTGGCAGGTGTAGCTGCAGTTTTACATCTTAGTTTTTTGCTAATTAGAGCCAATTTGCCAATTTACAGATAACTGATGGTCAACAATTTTTATAATTGCAAAAATGTCAAATATTTGCAGCTTGCAGCTTCTGAAATGTGAGAATGTTCTCTGTTTCGCTTTATTATTAACAAATTGTTTGTTTTTGAACATTTGATGAGACCAAAAAGTAATGTAATGACAAATATATGGGTTCTAGAAACCTAAAGTACGATGCACATTTTTCATTATGTTTTGATATTTCATAGATTAAGCGATGAATCGATCATTTAAAAACCAACGTTAGTTCTAGCCCTGATAAAGATATTTGGTAATTATGCAAACACACCTATGATGACATCAAATGTCAGAACATTTCACTCATTGTTGCTGTTGTTTTTACAGTGTCGTCTCAGAGACATGACCTATTCAGCTCCCATCACAGTGGACATAGAGTACACTCGTGGCAGTCAGAGAATCATCCGCAATGCACTGCCCATTGGAAGGTATCGTAGTGTCACATCCTGCCCAGATTCAATTTATGACTGGATACAACATCTTTTACTCACCGTTAATACTGCTCTCCTTTTTAATTGATCTTAAATGTATACTTCCACTCCCAAAATGACCATTTCATATATCAATTACTCACCCTGTGTTCCCTGAGTTTTTTTTCGCCTGCCTTCACATTGAACAAAGAATCAAAAAACTGAGAAAAGTCTTGATGAATTCCTCTTTAGTGTGAGGAGAGCACCTGCACAAGCGTGACCCTGTTTGTGCGGAAATGTTTTAAAATGCATGTGTTTGAGAAGTAGTGAGAATTCGACTAGATAAATGAGACTTTGATTATACTGCATGTGTTGTTTGAGTGTTTGAAAACCAATGTTTTAGTATAGTTTTGCTGTTGTTGAACACGGCCCCCATTTACTTCGATTCATCAAGACTTATCTCGTTTGTTTGGGGCATGCAACACATTTTCTTTTTAATACAGGGCGGGTAATTGATGGTAGTTTTGGTGGTGAAGTATTCCTATAACTCTTCCACCTGCTCTGTTTGATAATGTTAAGCTGTTATTTCACAGTTTTTGTCCATAATGGATACAAAATAATCTACAAACGTATACACTATAATATAATAATATATAAATGCTAGTATAAAGTCATTCATAGGCTCTTGGTATTAATGTATTTAACTCTGCTTTTCTCAGGATGCCAATCATGCTGCGAAGCTCGAACTGTGTTCTCACAGGAAAGACGCACATCGAGGTTTCTAAACTCAATGAATGTCCTCTGGATCCAGGTACATCCAGGATGACACAGAATGAGAGCAATAACGCACCCTCACATTTATTATTAATACGCTCCATGTGGTATTTCTTCACAGGGGGTTATTTCATTGTAAAAGGTCAGGAGAAAGTCATTCTGATCCAGGAACAGCTGTCTAAGAACCGAATCATTGTGGAGCAGGACAGGAAGGGGGCAGTTGGAGCCTCCGTTACCAGGTACTGTAACAACTTCTCCCCTAATCATCCATTCAGTGCAGTGACAGAGTTCAAACTAATTGCATTGCCATTGATAATAGTTGCACAGATTGCAGGATTTATAGGCAACTGCTTGTGAAACACACAAAACCTCTACAGACAAATAAAACGTCAACAGACTATCAGACTCAAATGTCAAATAATTTCTTGAAATGTGGTCATTCATTTTTACCCGTTGCTCCATTTTCATTCCTAATAATCTACATTCAAAAAGTCTCTGTAAACGTTAACAGAACTCAAACAGAGTAGATCTTTTACATTCCAAGAGGTAGACTGTGTGAGTTGTGTTGCTTTACCTTCAAAAAATAAATAGTTATGCTAAAAGTTGAACTTTTAACAATTTTACGTTGTTTTTATGTCTTTATTTGCATTTATCATCAAGAAGTCTCCTCGTGTTATTCTGAGCTTTTAGTTAGAAGCTAAAAGAAAAGCCTGGAACAGCAAAGTGATTCTTCTGACCTGTTAAAATGGTTTGTTACTTTGCATTGCGTTGAAGTCTAGTGATCGATTATGTCAGTGGTCAGGCTGTTTTGATCTAATTCTTTGAGGTTTCCCTACAGCCATGCAGCATCGGTTACCCTAGTGATCTTAAATCTCAAATACTCCACGAAACACCTTTTTAATACCAAACACTGCCACTTGTTGCAGTTACAAGAAAGACGGAATTACATATTTTATGTTACCTTTGTTTCCATTTCTTATGTTATTGTGAAATATTTCGCTTTCTTTGTCAAACCTTCTGGTTCTTCATCTGCTCTGATTTTATCTCGTCTTCAATTTCAGCTCTACTCATGAGAAGAAGAGCAGAACTAATATGATCGTCAAACAAGGCCGATTCTACCTGAGACACAACACGCTGTCGGAGGACGCCCCCATTGCCATCATTTTCAAGGTGAAAGAGTTGTTGATGATTAGAATGACACAGCAGAGTGCTACTAGACCTCCAGTAGGGGGCGCTACGAGACAGCTCCGTGAGTTGTTTTTACTGAGGCTAAAAACTTCAGTTTGTTTCCAAAGAAACTTTATCAGATGGAATAACTTTTTATGGTTCGCTCTGTTTTACTGCAGCCTGAGTTATCTGCAATAGATGATTTCACACCGCATTAATAATGCATATCGCATTTTGTGATTTTTATTGCAGGTTAGTGCAGTTAGAAGTCAGCAGTTTCAGTAACTCTTCATCAGATTCATTTTCATGTGTCGCATTTTGCCCTCAATGAAAATGTCAGTTAGACAGCTGCCGTCATTAACTCCTTTCCCCACTGAGGACAAATCTCTCCAAACACGTCGACCTGTGAGTGTTGAGTCATTATCCGCAGGACGCAGTTTGCATGCTCGCTCTGTTTGCAGTGCACTTGTATATCCTGGGTGACTTGTTCCCCATCCATCCCCCGTGTTTGGCTGCAGAAACAACCTTCGATAAAGTGTGGGACAGACGGATCAGTTCCCATAGCTTCACATTTCCATAAACAAATGTCAGACAACCTCATGACTCCCAGTTCACTCTTCCCTCCGTGTACAAGCACAGCTCCTCCTTATGCCTCCTGACTCACCTCTTCTTCCAGTTACTAGTTGCAGAATGTCTACTTTGTGTACATTTCACCTCATTTCTAAGGTCTTTATGTAGTCGCATAAATTAAATATTTATCCACTCTTGTTCCTCTAATCTCACTTCCCATCACACACTCTCTGCTGGTCGTTCACACAGGGTATGGGCGTAGAGAGTGACCAGGAGATAGTGCAGATGATCGGTACGGAGGAGCACGTCATGGCCAGCTTTGCCCCGAGCCTGGAGGAGTGTCAGAAGGCCCAGATCTTCACACAGACTCAGGTACCTCAGTGGTCCATGCGTGGTTGAAATAATTGTCATAACATTATAGGAATACTCCACTGATTTTACACTTAATAGTCAGTTTACTAGTTAGAAGGAATCCTACTTTGCCTTAAATTCTCTTTTTATTTAGATTTACAAAGCTAACAAAACATACAGACTTGATTGAGCTTTGTTTAAAAAGCAAACATGAACAAATGATGAAATTACAACTGCTAATTCTAATAGATAATAATGCATAAATAGTAAAAGTACATAGAAATGAGAGCCCATAAAAAACAAGTACAAAAATTGAAAGTGCATGATTAAATAAAGTAGAAGCAGAAGTTTAAGGTTTACCTCGATTATATTCAGTTCACTAAAGAAAAAAAAATCACAAACAAATCTGAAAAATAACTGATGTTATCAAGGTTTTTCCTCAGCCTGAACTTGATAAGTTAACAGATCCTCTGTGCTACAAACTGTGGGTGTGGCGTTTGAGGGGTGTGTGCATTTACCAGGCAGGATGGTCAAGTAGATGGATGCAAGTTGTTGCATTATGGGAAATGTAGGAGATGTTTGACACATTGGGAAATACACTTATTCGTTAGATGAAAAGATTGATAGCACTCATGTCTGTGCTGTAAATATACATGTACAGCAGATTCATTTAGCTTTACATAATGACTGGAAACAGAGCTAGCCTGGCTCTCCCCAACGATTAGAAAACCAGCCTAGCGGCTCCTCTAATGCTGAGTTCGCACTACAAGCAACAAAACGAAGTGTGGCGAGCGACATTGTCGGTGAGTCGCTGTTAAAGTGTCGCTCAAGTGGTCTTTGACGTAGTTAAATAGCACAGGACAAGTTTAAAGACAACATGCGATCGGCTGACGTTTCACCGCATCATTGAAAAAAAGTTAAGACCAGCTCAACTTTGATCTGTAGCCCGTCACACACCGACAAGTGTCGGGCGTCCGTTTGTCGCTTCATGTCAATGGCTTCCATTAATAATGACTTGTAGCCTGTTGTTTTGTTGCTCTAGTAAAGTGTGAGCTCAGCATAAAGCTTACTAATTGGAGTCTCTGCAGGTTGCCTGGCAAACTCACAGAGACAACAAGACTCGGAAGTCACATTAACCCCCCGATAAATCCACTACTTGACTTTCTCACTCTTTGGTATTTGTATTAATCTATAAACCAGACGTAGTGTGTTAATTAGTGAGCTTTAGATGTGTTGGTAGGCAGAATGTTACCTTTGGACAGAGCCAGGCTAACTGTTCCCCCCCAGTCTTTGTGCTAAGCTAAGCTAACCGCCTTCATGTTTAGCGTACAGACATAACGGTGGTCATCTTATCATCTGACTCTCAGCAAGAAAGTGAATAAGCATATTTCTGAAAATGTCAAAATATTGAGGATAATTATTTTAAAAAAACTCAGCGGATGACATCACTACAGTATGATTAAGATGGAAGTCAGTAAGCAGCGTTATTGAATTATCAGCCAGCCCTAATATGCTCGTTACCTCCGTCTGAAGAGGAGGATGTGTGTGACAGAAGGTATTTTCTTTGTCTCTCTGTGATCAGGTGACGGAGGTTTTGTCTTACCAGCCAGTCAAGTAATGCTTCGGGTGGTTTATTCAGCAGGCCCGCATGTTTTCTTTGACATCTACAGATGAACGCAATCGGCCAATTTGTTTTTCATAAAGATTATTATGTTCGAGGAACTGCTGATGCATTGATGAGGCCATATTTGCTTCCTAGCAACCAGCCTCCGCAGCTCTCATGTTCCTCTGTCTGCCAGCCTCCACGATGTCTGTTCACGGTATTCATTGGGTCATTGTAATGTGCACAATGAGGCCTAAATCTATATAATTAAAGGCAGATGAGGCTTAAGAAACATTGTTATCAGATTATAAGTAATCTGCTTAAACTATATTTGCCTGTCATCTTTTTTTCTACTGATCTATACTTTGATATATCTGAAGATTTCATCAATTAATAAATATGAATATATGATATTACAATATGTGTATATATATATATTCATATGTAAATAATCTTTTATTTCTCTAAATTAGACAATAACTTTTTTTCACATGGGGTATGAGAGAGAGAGAGAGAGAGAGAGAGAGAGAGAGAGAGAGAGAGAGAGAGAGAGAGAGAGAGAGAGAGAGAGAGATCTAATGCAGGTTGGGTGGTCTTGCAAAAGGTCTTAAGTCTCATTATCCTCTGACCTTTTCTATAGTTCAGTAGAGGGCTCCAGAGAAGTGCGTGTGTTTTTTGTGTGCGCGTGTTGCTTGACCTCCCACATGTGTTTTCTGTGCGCTTTTTCTTGAAAATTCCACACGTTAATCATTTTACAATCGGCCTCAAACACACTTCCACCAAATGCCTTTTAAATACAGAACTATTGACCAGTTCTGGGTAAAGCCTGATCAGGATCATAGGATTCTCTCTAATTCTTTCTTTGATCCAATATTTCTTGAAATAAATGTAATTTCAGCATTTTGTTTAACACTGATGCATTAAGTTGTGTCTAGAACGTTTAGCCCCTTCTAGTTTTAATCTATGTCAAGGATGGCTGATCATCCCACATCCTCTTCCTTTCCCTCGTGGTTACGTTTTGATTTATTGATTGTTTTTTTTAAATTTACTTATTAGTTATCTTTTTGTCAAGGTCTTATAGAGAAGAGGTTGGATTGGTTGGGGGGGCAGGTGTGTGGGTAAATGACGTTATGCGTTTGTTTTTTTGCAAATGTTAAACATTTTAGATAAAGTTTGTTAAAAAAACAACTTTATATCGCTACGGTATGTTTTTTTGGGTATCGCATCCGTACCAACATCATCACTCGGCTCTCCCTGACCTCGGCTGTATCTGCTGCTCTGTGTTTCAGGCTCTCCGGTACCTCGGGAATAAAGTGCGGAGACAGCGCATGTGGGGAGGCCCCAAGAAGACCAAGATGGAGGAGGCCAGAGAGCTTTTGGCGTCTCTTATCCTCACACATGTGCCCGTATGTTGGTTAACAGACGGACAACAATCACAGTACACTCGGTGTATTCCACAGAGTGTAATCATTGGGTATTCTGTCTGCAGGTCAAAGAGTTTAACTTTCGGGCAAAGTGTATTTACCTGGCTGTGATGGTTCGGAGGGTGATCCTGGCTCAAGGGGGCAACAAGGTGGACGACAGAGATTACTATGGCAACAAACGTCTGGAGTTGGCTGGACAGGTAAGCCTCGATGCTCCATGTGCTCTCATTTACTGCTGGTGTAATGCCATAATTAATCCGCCAGCCAGACAAAGACATGCAGGTCCATTTAGTTCATTTTATTTGTTAATTTGTCGATGGATCAACAGGAAGTCGGTTCTGACATTAACAGGCACCCTGTTGAACGGGGTGTTTATAACTGAAAGGTGTTTTCTACCTTTTCTTTACTCGCAAGAAAACAAAACGGGCTTTATTCTGAATCATAACGTGTGGACAAGAACAAATATCCCTCACGTGCTTTAGTGTGAATGGGTCACAGCACTGGACCAGATGACAGCGGCAGCTCCAGCCCTGATCTCTCACCTGCATCTTTGTTCCTGCCGCCTTCTCTTTTCATATGACTCTCATTATTTCTATTCAGCTTTGTTTTTCCCTGTTTTGTTTTCAACCCTCCCCCTGTATTTCAGCCTGGCTTTGTCAGGAGAGAGATATGCAGTGGCACCAAAATCCAGAGGCAGTGGCAGCATGGGGATTTTTCAGCACCGTGACAATAGAATTGCTGCCTTGACTGGAGCGATTGAGCTAATCCGCAGGCCCGGCTCTGATAATGTAATTACTGCTGTCTTAAGGCCTTTAATTTCCCCCCCAACCTGCTCTGTATAAGGAGCAGGAGATGGAGGAGAGGGGGGGGGGCACAGACCCCTCTTTCAATAGGGGGCTTACACACTAACAACGCCAGCAATCTCTCCTCACTCTCCAATTATGGTTCCCTGACATTCAACTAATTGGCCTGGCTGCGCAATGGAAGCTTAATTTCTTTATTAATTTTAAGCAGCGCTGCCTGTTTGTTTTTGATGTATGCTAATGCACGGGGTGGGGGGTGGGGGGGGGGGGGGGGGGGGGGGGGGGGGGGGGGTCGGGGGGGGGGGGGGGGGGGGGGGGGAGAGAGGTTGCCTCCTGTAGGCGTGGTGGAGGAGGACAGGGACCTGGGACGGAGGCCAGGTCAGGCTTATCGGTGAGCCGGCACACCTGGTTATTAAATCTGACTGTAAACACACCTCGGTACTGATTAAAGGCAGGAATATATGCGAGGTGCCAGTAGATCTGAGAGTGTGACTATGAAGATACAATGACAACTCTCTGAAATGACTGTTCTTACCCAACATCCGGGCCGAAGATGTGACAAGTGAATAATATCAATGATCATTGTCTCTCTCTGTCTCAGCTGCTGTCTCTACTGTTTGAGGATCTGTTTAAGAAGTTCAACTCTGAGCTGAAGAAAATCGCTGACCAGATCATCCCCAAGCAGAGAGCCGCTCAGTTTGATGTGGTGAAGCACATGCGGCAGGATCAGATCACCAACGGCATGGTCAACGCCATATCCACTGTGAGTGTAAATAGAAAGGACGCACCTCACCCCCACATGAACCAGATTTAAAACCTTATGCCAACAAACATCCGGCCTACTGAGGAGTCTTTAAGCAACAGAGTCCCTGTCTGCTCTGTCTTTGTGAATACTCAATGCTCAGACTGCTATTTTGGTAATTAATTAACGATAAATATGTTTTTATGTGAACAGTCCTTAGTTACTTTCACAAACCATAACTTTTAAATTATCTTTTACTTTAATGTAAAGTGCTATAAAATGTCTAAATTAAAGGTGTACTTACTTAGATATTCTAAGAGCTTTCAGGCACATCCCATGGTCTTCTTCAGAACTAAGATTTTGAAATTGCTAAGTATATACATTGAGTATAGCTGTTACAAAAATACAAATATAGTGCATACTTCAGATTCACCAAATAAACAAAACATTTTTCCACCATTTGAACGATGATAAACTTTACATTTCTCTCATGAGCTCCTCTTAGATAAAGAATGAAGTCGTAACTTTAGTAGCAGGTAGAAGTAAAGCAAACATTTTGAATTACAGTGTCACTCCAGCACTACCTGTGTTCATGAAAAATGTATTAATAGGCAGGTTAGTTAATAATAGTGAATTTTCTGTCCACAGGGCAACTGGTCTCTGAAGAGATTCAAGATGGACCGCCAGGGTGTCACCCAGGTCTTGTCTCGTCTCTCTTTTATTTCGGCTCTCGGCATGATGACGAGGATCTCCTCCCAGTTTGAGAAGACCAGGAAGGTCAGCGGGCCGCGCTCCCTGCAGCCGTCGCAGTGGGGCATGTTGTGTCCGTCTGACACGCCCGAGGGAGAGGTGAGTGAGCTGCAGCGGCCACACCTCACCTGTTCCTGCAGGTCCAGTGACGAGGTCATTCTAACAGTTCTCCATGTTGAAATCAGAGTTTGCATGGAACATGCAGAGCAGAGATGAGCCACAAGGTTACAGTATCACAGCTCTTGTTTTGTAGGACAGCCTTTTGAAAACAGGATTAGAGGTCCACTAAATATTGTTGTAGATTGATCTGGTGTTGTTTTCACAAAGATGCGTGGTTCAGTATTGTTGTTTTGTGCGTAACATGTCAATTAAGGCTGGGCGATAATTCAATGTCAATTAATGATGAAAATTGTGAAGAAATTATATATCGAGATATTGTGATACACAATCTCGTTCTCTTTATTGAAAATAACGAGCACATACTAAAATTTCTCAGAAAATCTGATTATTTTGCATTTAATGAGAAAATACTTTTCATTTGTCAAGTAAGAGTAGACAAATCATGTGGTTATTTCATATGGGCTTTCTGACCCATATTGTGACAGAACATTTTTGCAATATCGCCAGTCCCTAGTGTAAATACAAAGAAACGTAGCCTTCTATATAATATAGTAACTGTTCGTGGTTCACGTCATTGTTTTTGGTTTGCAGGCCTGTGGTCTGGTGAAGAACTTGGCTCTGATGACCCACATCACCACCGACATGGAGGACGGTCCGATCATCAAACTGGCCTTCAATCTGGGAGTAGAAGACGTCAACCTGCTGTGCGGAGAGGAGCTCTCCTACCCGAGCGTCTTCCTCGTCTTCCTCAATGGTAAAGCCTAATACATAAATAATAAACACAAAGAGAACGAACAGTGGAAGCTGTTGCTTTAGATCACTTGAAAAGAAAGTTGAATCCTCCCTGTTTTGAATGCATTGCTTCTGAACATGAAGGGAAAATATTCTGTTTAGTTTACAGAAAGCAATTTTTAATTTTGCAGGGAGGCTGATAAGTCATTAATTATATGGCAGCGGTAGGTATTATTCTTGAGTCACAACTTGGCCCCTTAATTACTGTATATGTTTGTCTCACCACTGATAACTGTTGAATTATATTAGCTGCCATACCATTTAATTAGTTGGTAGCAGCAGGTGTCAAAGCCCTTCAGAGTGTGTTCACTGCAAATGTGCCGTCACACAGAGGCAGAGCACAGTGTCTCCTCTGTTCTCCACTCATTTGTCTGTCAGGCTTGATATGAGCAAACCCCTGCAGGCAGCCTGAGCTCTGCTTTCACCAGCCGTGGCGGTTCAGAGTACACTACTGTATACACATGCTGTGTCTCTTTTTCTTTCCATTTAAAGTTTGCGAACGGGAGTTTTTGACTCAGAATTTAACCCATAAGTAGAATTTGCTCACTGCGCGTTACTCCGATAGTAACAGCGGTTATCTGCTGCAACGTTTTGACTTATGTTTTTCATTTCTTAGACTGGAGCTAAAATCAAGCAGTCGATCGAAAGAAAAATTATTTCTGTAATTTAGAATTGTTTTTTGAGTCTTATTACAAACATTTCTGTGTTCCAGCTTTTCTTACTTTGATCTGATGTCAAACAATATATTTGCATTTCACACCGTTGCTTGGACAAAACGTAATTTGAAGACGTCAGATTGGTTTCTGAGTTATTTTGATGGCATTTTCCCCCATTTTCTGACATGTTATAGACGGGATGATTAATTGAGAAAATAATGCGGTGCGTGACAGTTACCTCGCTGAAGTGCTGCAACTCGCACACGCGTGATGTTCACACAGACGGCTTCTTCTGCTGCAGCGCTGCTGCTGCCGCCAGCCCTTCCTTTCTTTAGATTGTTAGCCTCTCGTGATGGCCAACAATAATAGAATGTTCATTTATAAATGTTAGTTTTACTTGATTTTAGAAAGAAAAAAGATTAAAGAAGAGTGTGCTCATTTGTAAGTAATGATTTTAACAATTAAAAGGCGGCACTCTACTAATTTATGGAACCGTGCAAGTCATTATATTTCCACAAACTGTCCTGCAAGTAATTCAGAATAAAAGCTTTATGTTAACAACTGAAGGGATTCTGTCGACAGAAAAACGCAAGAGCTTTTACTTTGAAACAGAAACAGGAGTTACTCACTTGCAGGTTGCAGGACAAAAAATAACTTCATGTCCAGGACTGATACCAGGATTATGTTAAAAGGCGATGGTGGGGAACCGGACTTGAGTGTTTGTGTAGTTAAAGTATGTGCATTATCTCTGTCTGTCTGTCTGTATTATGTCGACAGGTAACATTCTCGGTGTGATTCGAGATCATCACAAGCTGATCAACACCTTCAGACTGATGCGCAGGGCGGGTTTTATCAACGAGTTTGTGTCAATCTCCACCAACTTGACCGACCGCTGCGTCTACATCTCTTCTGACGGAGGACGTCTCTGCAGGTGGTTTAAACCTGGACTGATACACAAGGCATTAAAAAAGCATAAAAAATACACGCTATGGGATGCATTCTGTAATACACAATTAGTCTCCATCAGCCAGGCCTTTGTACAACACAGTCACATTTACTTACAAGTTTGAATTCTTTGCTTAATTTAAAGTGGCAAAATGTATTAGCCTTTCATAATTTGTCCTCCCAATGTGTTGGTGTTTAATAACAAAGAATATGTAAAACTTCTCTCCTTAGTAGTTTGACAGCTTTTTGCTCCGTTCTGTGTTGTTCTCCATCAGGCCGTACATCATCGTGAAGAGGGGACAGCCCATGGTGAAAAACAAACACATTGAAGACATGTCACAGGGCTACAGGTGAGGCTGGGCGTCAGGAGCTTTTAAGAGCCTATTTGTTTGCAGATAATCATAAATATTTAAAGAGCAGATTATTTTTTTTTTTATAACTTAAACGCACTTTTCTTGCCCCCAGAGCCTTTGAAGACTTTCTGCACGAGGGCCTGGTTGAGTACCTGGATGTCAATGAGGAGAATGACTGTCACATCGCCCTTTATGAACACATGATTAGCAAGTGAGCAGCACCTGATTCTGGGGAAAGAAATGGGGATAAGGCTCTCCTGATTTGTTTCTGTCATTCAACGCACTGGGCTGACTGCCTCCTCTGTTTTGTTTCTTTTTTTTCTGCAGGTTCACGACGCACTTGGAGATCGAGCCCTTCACGTTGCTCGGGGTGTGCGCCGGCCTCATCCCCTACCCGCACCACAACCAGTCACCCAGGAACACATACCAGTGTGCTATGGGCAAGCAGGCCATGGGTAAGACTCAGCTGAGCAGGTAGCTTCAGTCAGCAGGCAGGTCTTTAAACTGTAAAGATCTCAAATCCTTTCTCGTACATCCTCCACACAGCGACAGTGTTTACTTCTGTGCATGCATACACACAAGCACAGATACTGACGGTAATTTAATCTCGCATCAAGACGATTCTTCAGCCTCCTAAATCTGCTGGTTCAGAGTTTAAAGTTTTATTTGCACAAGTTAAAATCGTTCAAAAGGACATTAGAATAACAAACAGTATAGATACAAGCTGGTTCGTCTCCCCCAAAACTCCGCTCCTGCTCTACTTTTTGTCAGAATACATTTGTATGTGTGATTGAGTGTTTGTCTTGTGTGTGTGTGTGTGTGTGTGTGTGTGTGTGTGTGTGCGCATGGACATCAAACATGGGGCGCTTGCGTAGGTCCTCCATTGTACTGTGTGTGTGTGCGGAGGCCCTTTCCCTGCCAGTCACCCAGAGTGTCATTAGCAATTCATTGTGTCTGCTCTGGCTGTGCTCAGGGGGTCAGTGTGCTCAGCTGCGAAAGACCACAGAGTGCGCACCCACAGCTCCTTGGTAACCAAAACTTCCCCAAACGGCCCTGCTAACATTCGTAAAAGACCTGCGGTCACCCCCACCCCGCCGCTTTACCTCCGTCCGCCACCTCCTCCCTTCCCCCCCGTTATTACAAAAACACAGACTGGAACTATATTTGGCCCAATATCCTCTGCCTTGTCTGTTTTGTGTGGACAGCCCTATACATGTGCAAATCTGGTTGTGTGGCTCGGGCCTATTATCACAGACTGTGCTTGTAGCCTGATTGTGAAGTAATAGCATCTGACAAATGTCAAGGCCTCCAGGGAGGCCAGGCTTTATTCCATGACACAGCCCGCTCCTCCACTCCGCTGCTCTGAGACGGTGCTAACCAGGCCCAGCCCCGACCCACCCAACAGGAGGACTTAACACATATTACCCACTCATAATTGATTCATAGACAGTTACTAATTGTGTGCATTGACATAGTGCTGGGCCAGTTTCTTCTACCACAATACAGGTCGTATCGTATCTCGATAACGATATATATCACTACATAGCAAGTTTTCTGGTAACACAATAAATTGTCAGTATTAAATTCACACAAGACCATGTGGTGATTTCATATAGACTAATGAAAGGTACAGAGTATTTTCTCATTTAATTGTAAACTTCAGTGCAAAATAATCCGATTTTCGGGGAACTTTTTGTTCGTATGTGCTCGTTATTATCAATTTAGACGATGTAATTGTGTGTCTCGATATATGATTTAATCACAACATGGTTCCATTTAATGACGATAAATTATCATATTGGATTATTGCCTAGCCCTACGTTGACACAGGGACTTTAAAAATCATGATACACATGCAGTAAACACTAACAAGATAGCTCCATATACCCATAAACATCTCCTTGTCCCCTCTCCTCAGGTACTATTGGCTACAACCAGAGGAACCGTATCGACACTCTGATGTACCTGCTGGCGTACCCTCAGAAACCCATGGTCAAAACAAGAACCATCGAACTGATTGACTTTGAGAAGCTGCCTGCTGGTCAGAACGCCACTGTGGCCGTGATGAGCTACAGCGGCTACGACATTGAGGACGCTCTGATCCTCAACAAAGCCTCGCTTGACAGAGGTGACGGTGCATGTTGGCAGTTTCACAGGATTTTAGCTTTTTTTTTATCTAAACGTATTTCACTTTTAAAAGTCCTCTATTACAATATATTTGTGTAACAACAAGTTGTTCAAGTCACAGACACTCAGTAATACTGATGTTTCCCTCCAGGATTTGGCCGGTGCCTCGTCTATAAAAACGCTAAGTGCACGCTGCGGCGTTACACCAACCAGACCTTTGACAAGGTGATGGGGCCCATGCTGGATGCTACCACACGAAAGCCAATCTGGAAGCACAGCATCCTGGATGCTGACGGCATCTGCTCCCCCGGTGAGTACCAGCAGGACTGGAAGAGACCCAGGATGCCTTGCTGCTCTATTCCAGGCTCCACTGCTCCAATACTGTGATTGACTGTATTATGAATACAACAGGATTCATCTATAGTCTTTTACAGGATTTCTATTTTGCTGGCATTGGCTTGTTACTCAGCAAGTTATTTTTTAAGTGTTTAAGGCCTCATGAAAGTCTAACGTTACTTAATGTAATTAATCAATCAATCAAAGGGATATGGGAAAGAAATGTTCAATTTGATACAACTTATCAGAATGTTTGACGGCTTTATTGGTTGATTCTGTTAATGCCTTTGACTTCAGGTCCCAATTAAAGATTCTCTGTTTTACAGGGAAAGAAAGTAGCCTGACGTCTCCATTAATTGGGTTCTTTAAAAGCTCTCAGTCTAGTACTGACTCATGACATTTCAACACAAGCAAAGTATTTAGCTTTCTTTATCACGGTTTCAGTTTGTGTTGACACACACACAGCACGACCCAACGAAGGACACTATCATGGTGCAATGAGTTAATTAGCACACTTAATGCGCTTTCGTACAATTAATTGTTTGGAAGTAAATAAAGGGGAAATCATTTTCATTGTTAAAAGAGATTAATTAAAAGAGATTAATATACAGGCTACAAATAATTAAAAAATAACAGTAATGCACATGTAGCTGCATGTCTGTTCTTCTTGAGAGTTATTAAAAGGAGTGCTGGGTAAGAGTCGCATCATATAAGCGCATGTAATGGCCTGTGCAGGCCCTCATAACCCCGTGATGAACTGTGTGATGTGTTTTGTGTGGGGCACAGGTGAGAAAGTGGAGAACAAGCAGGTGTTGGTGAACAAGTCCATGCCAACTGTCACCCAGACACCACTGGAGGGCAGTACCCAGCCAGGCCAGCCCCAGTACAGAGACGTGCCCATCAGGTGAGTGCGCTTCTTCCCCCAACATCACACCCACCTCTTCAGCTTCTGTATGTCCAGAAGAAACCGCTCAACTTTTTTTTTTTTTTGATTTCTTGCAAATCCTGCTGTAAAGAAAATCACTTCGGCCATTCTTCCTCTTTCTTTCTGCAGCTACAAGGGCACAACAGACTCGTACGTCGAGAAGGTCATGATTTCATCCAACGCTGAAGATGCTTTCCTCATCAAGATCCTCCTCAGGCAGACCAGGAGGCCAGAGATAGGAGACAAATTCTCCAGTCGACACGGACAAAAAGGTGCCAACCTCAGCGCTGTCGGACCGTATTCTCTCTAAAAAGGGCTCAAACCTAAATGTGCAGAATAAAGAGCACTGCGCTAATATCCACCACTTAAAGCCCCCAATTTCAACCTGTCATGAGAGATTGTAAATGACTGGGGGGGGAAAAAAAACTTTGGTCGTCTCTGTGCCGGAGCATTTGTTGAGTCAAGTCTCAGTAGCTGTTGCTCTGTCACTGCCCCCCTGTCCTCATCTTTCAAGAGCTCTTTTCAATTAATTGGCTCTTTGTCCTGTGCCAGACTATGCAAATTTATTACACCCCAGCAGTATTCTGCTGCTGCTGGAGAAAAAGTGTTTACAACCTCCATTGTTTTGCAGCACCTCCCCTATTGAGGGCTTGTATGATGTTTTAATCAAAAAGCTAACTGGCGCCATGCATAATTTACTCTCCTCATTAACGCAGTGGCCACTGGGCGGTCAGCTCGGGGTGGGACAATGTCTTCTGTCTCAGATAGTGACGAAGAGAGAGGGGTCGCCGGGGGGTTAGCTGGAGAAACTCCCAGATGTGCAACTGATGTACGGCTAGTTGGGTTAATCAGAGCTCCATGCAGTCATGTGGAGGTGTTCACGGACACTTTAGGAAATGCTCGGCATACTTTGCTCCAGTGGGCTTGTATTTGTATGTAGAATTTACCACGTCAATATTTTAAACTGAATCCCAAATCAAGGTTTTATTATTTTATTAGAATTTAACTGCAGCAATAGATCTTACAGCTACTCATGACTAGTCTCATAAGTCCTGGTCAGCAGAGCAGAATAAGTTAATTATTTACACACACACACACACACACACAGCTGTGGAGGTGGGGGAGGAGGTGGAGGGGTTGTCAGTAGTAGGGGCCCATTGTGCGAGCCGCCAGCGTGGGGCTGTATGAGCTGTGATGGAGGGCTCTGGACCCTTGCTGTTGTCTTGCCTTTCTCTGCTGATTTCATGCCTCTTTTATCATTCACTTTCACACAAAACAAACAACACCGAGGATGTCTGCTATGGGAACTAGTGTCTCTCGCTCCTCTGAATCTTTCTAATCACCTTCTCCTCCATTTTCCACTTTCTTTCCTCCTGCTCTCTTTCCTCTTTTATCCTACTTTTACCCTGATATTCAAACTTTTCTTTTTACTGCCTTTTCTTTCTTTCTTCTTTTCCCCTTTTACCTTTTCTTCTGGCTCAGCCGTACTCGCCTTTTCTCTCTTTTCCTTTTCACCTTCTTCCTGCTCTTGGATGACTTTCCAGCAAATTGCCGTACTTGTTCCCGGTCAACATCCTGCTACTACATCCTGTATGGCATCAACAGTCTGCTGTGTTGCCGACTGCTCGGCTAATAGTGAATTTTTCCCACGTGCACGGATTCAATTTCTCCTCTCCAGTTGATCCCCTCCACTTCCTCGGAGTTAAACTGAAAGTCATGGAAGTGTAATCCCGGTCTCCCTGTCAAGCTAAGCACCTTTCTCCACTTCCTGCTCTCCTTCTCTTCTCCCCTTCTTCTCTTTTTTACATTTGCAAATGGGCCTACAATCTGTTTACCCTGGCCAGGGAAGAGTGCCTCGGCCCCTCAGCAAACATTTGCACTCGCACTTAAACTCCTGGCTACCAGAGCGCTTGTCCCCCACAGCATGTGAATCAAAAGAGGACCCCGTCCGTCCACATGAGTATGGAAATGTCATTCTGACAGAGGTCCACACCAGCAAATAGTTTAACTACAAGTTGTCTTCTATTTTTTAATCAATACTGTTTGGTCCGTTAGGCAAAGCTGGTTTGACTTTTTGGTTACAATTGAAGATAGTACAGTTATATTTCTCACTTCATATTGATTATTTTTCAGATTTATCTTTAAGTCTTAATGAAAAATGCTCATCATGAGTTCGGAGAGCCCAAAATGGTGTCTTCAAATTACTTGTTTTGTCCAAGCAACAGCCCAAAGTTATTAGATTTACAATGATGATAAATGCAAAATATAATCTGACCCTCGCGTATAAGAAGCCGAAATCAGCAACTGGTTCGGCGTATTTTTGCTTGATAAATGACCTAAACAATCAAGTAAATGTTTAGATTATTGTAGTTAGATTTTTCTTGATCAAAAGATAAACCACTTAAAAGTGCTTGTTGTGCTTCATCTGCATTTTCGGCAAAAGTATAGCCGTTCTGCTGCGTGTACAGATGTGTGCATTGACTTCAATATGTTGTTGTTTTTGTGTATCAGGTGTTTGTGGCCTCATCGTTCCACAGGAGGACATGCCGTTCTGTGACACGGGCATCTGTCCAGATATTATCATGAACCCTCACGGCTATCCCTCCAGAATGACGGTACGGACTGGAAGAACATACTTTGTTGGGTTGAAACTAACAATCATTTTTATAACTGTATTTTCTCCATAAGTCATTAGGACTTAGGGCTGCAACTGATGATTATTTTTACTCTTGATTAATCAGATGATTGTTTTCTTGATTAATCCATCAATTGTCTGCTCTATATAATATCAGTTATAGTTGTTTTTTAAACATGTCTGTCATACTTTCCCACAGCCCAAGGTGACGTCTTCAAATGTCTTTCTTCGTGTGACCTACGTTCCAAAATTCAAAGATTCACTATCATTTAAGACCAAATAAAAGCAACAAATGGTCACATTTGAGCGTCTGGAACCAGTAAATGTTCTGCATTACTGTTTCAAATGATTGGTCAGAACAGTTGTAGATTTGTTTTCTGTCAATTGATAAATTAATTGTATGATCATTTCAGCTCTAATAGTTTGTGTAATATTTGTCAGATAGGTCAAATCGACTTTTATTCTCCGTTGAAGATTCTGTAATTTGACACCGAGTTCAAAACCTGCAGACATCAGAGTTCAGTCTGAATCACCTCCGTCTCCGCGTTGACCGTCGCTCTTCATAAGTTCGTGTCGGCTCTTGCGAGACAAACGCCGTCATTATCCCCCATTCCTCTCCTCTCCGGGTTATCGTTGGCTTCCAGAGCACACGTCCATTGACGGCGCTAAGCAGCAATCTTGCTGTTCACAAAACAGATATTTGTTGCTGTGGAGACGGCTGCCAGCGAAGCCGCCGCCTGTAGCGGCGTGTGGAAGTTTTTTATCAAACACGCACGGTACATCTGAACTGCAGGATGGTGCTGAATGTGAATGACATGAAACTTGGCCCCGTTTCCACCAGCTTTTTGTCCCCCGACACTGTAAAAACTTGAATGATCTTTACTGCTGAAGTTGTCAGTGCCAGTGTGTTTGCGCGCTGTGGTTGTCATGGAAAAGACTCAGAAATGTTTGGCGCTCGGGAAGATGTTTCTGTGGCCTGAGAGTGAAATGAGAGTAGGTGTTTCCTTTTATGCGATGGGGTCAGGGGTCCTCTGGGTGGGACCTCAGAGGAATTGTTGAAATCAGTCATCCTTAGAGTGCCGGTCCCACCCCACGGGGGTACATGTGTAATCTATTCTCACCCACAATATCAGCATTTGGTGCCAGGAGAGAGTGCAAAACACAAACGATTTATGTTATGAACGGAGCCATTGTGTCTGATTCTGCCAGGTGGGAAAGTTGATTGAGCTGCTGGCTGGGAAAGCCGGAGTCCTGGATGGACGCTTTCACTACGGCACGGCGTTCGGAGGCAGCAAGGTGAAGGATGTGTGCGAGGATCTCATCCGCTATGGATACAGCTACCAGGGCAAAGACTACGTCACCTCGGGAATCACTGGGTAATAAAGATCGCATGTGTCATCCCATCAAACACAACTCAGACACACTTCACATTACTGGCTGCTTTCTCTAAGAGTTTACAAAGACATGAAACCAGCTTGTGATAGAAAATCATCATATCTGACATATATTGAAACCTTTCCTCAGAGCGATTTCAATTTTCATTAACAACAAAACAATAAATACATTTTAATACAATGTTTTTTCCTTTATCAGCGGTATGTAGCATTTGTACAGCATAGGTAAAGATACAGGCCTGATATTTACTCTGTAAGGTGATGTGTGTATCCATGCAATGTTAAAGTGAGAATGGGATGTTATTGAATTGAGTGTTAATTGAGATATCCTGTATTGTAGTGTTGATTAGATCATTACGGATGCATTAGCTTGATATCTACGTATTTTCCTCAGGGAACCTCTGGAGGCTTATATCTACTTTGGACCGGTTTATTATCAGAAACTCAAGCACATGGTACTTGACAAAATGCATGCCAGAGCCCGAGGCCCCAGAGCCGTTCTCACCAGGTAAAAATCAATAGTCTCATCGTAATTCTATAGAAATAACAAAAATAGAGCAGTGCTGCTCTCTTATACCAATACCTCTATTACTCTGGCAGTATTATTATGCATCTGTGTCGTTATCAGGCAGCCTACGGAGGGCCGCTCCAGAGACGGAGGTCTGCGTCTGGGCGAGATGGAACGTGACTGTCTGATCGGCTACGGAGCGAGTATGTTGCTGCTGGAGCGCCTCATGATCTCCAGTGACGCCTTTGAGGTGGACGTGTGCGGGCAATGCGGCTTGCTGGGATACTCCGGGTGGTAAGTCGAACACGTCTGTCGACTAGTGCAGATCTGTTGATCTGTTTCTCCTGGAAGCCAACATACAGGATAACACACCTGGAGCAATGGACCTGAGGATTTGTCCCCCTCATGACCCGGTGTCCATTACTGTGTACTGAAAGAACAAGAAACTTAATGTAGCGTTGTCGTTTTCAGGAAAAAGTTTACACTAACTTTAAATAAAATGTTTACATCTCTTAATAGTTTATCTTCCTACATCACCTCACTATAGATGAGCTCTCATTGGCTACTGAGTCATCACTTTTGAGTTAGAACTCTGGTCCTTCTGATGGAAGTTCAGTCGTTAGTCCTCTGGTTTGTCTGCAGTCTGATTCTCTCTTCCAATCTTCCAGGTGTCACTACTGCAAGTCTTCCTGCCACGTTTCCTCCCTGCGTATCCCGTACGCCTGCAAGCTGCTGTTCCAGGAGCTGCAGTCCATGAACATCATCCCCCGACTCAAACTGTCACGCTACAACGACTGACCAGGACGGGGACAGAAACACATGTCTGTGTGAGTGAAAGGTTTAGAGGTTTAATTTACATAGTCTGAAACTGATTGAAATTTAAAAGCTGTTAGAGCTGTGGATGAGAGGTAACGGTTAAACCTTTAAGGAATTCGTATATTGACATTTTTGTTGGTGTTCACAAACCAAAACAATGTGAAGTTTCTCATTTATGTTCATACTTTCTCACCGTTATGTTTTTCTATGTGTATATAATAAACTACAAAAGATTATTTCACAATCAGCTGCTGTGTGTGCTGCTATTTGGTTACTTTTAACTCGGCATTTCCTGTTTGATTACAAATATTTAAATGGATGCTTTTTGAAAAATGCTCTCAAATCTAAATACAACTTCTGTTCATAAATAATAAGACCTGGGGGACAAAATGGCAATAGTCCACCAACACTTTGACTTTTGTTTCTTAGAAGACAAAACCAGTGGATTTGCATGTTTTAATACTACAACTTACAAGTTAATCCTAAAATAAAACATTGTTAAATGTGTTTTCTTACCCTTCAGGCACCCACTGGCTTTCAAATCAGAGAACTGAAACTTTCTTGAGCTACAGGCTGCAAAGAGGTTGTCTTGTGATGCCCCGCTTCTAATCCAGCCGCAGATCTTCGTCACATGTGACTTCCTGTCTGCTTCTCTTCTTTACTCTATCTAATGCAAAATGCCAAAAAAAGTAATCCCTGAAAACAAAAGAAATCACTGTTGGGTGGTGAAGCAGCTGAAGGCACAAACTCAAAGTAAACGTTTTTGGGGTCATAGCAGCACATGAACAGCATGTTCATGTGATAAAACTGTTATTTTGTTAAAAATCCTCCTCGTCAATTCTGTTCGGCTGTCACATGTTGCCGTTTTATATCACATGTTGGGTGAATGTGGAGAAGATCCCGACAGGAGCAACCGTATCAATGTCAACAGTGTGAAAACACAAATAATTGTATTTTGTTTTTGTCAACATAGAAAATATAAATTGACCTCACTGAATATTTAAAAATCTGATGATGGTGAGAAAACACACCTACATGTTCTGGATCATAAAGAGATGCACAAATACACTAAAACGCACAACTTATGGCTGAAGTTTATCATAGTTATGAAATAACAAATGTAAATATATGTTCTGATATTGATTGATGCATGTAATGATTTAGCCAGCAATTGGAAGTAATGTGTTCCACTATAATGCACGACATAAGAAAACAAAAATTTGAGTACCAAATTTTTTCTACTAGCGATTACTTTCATTGACATTTAATCTGTTGATTATTTTCTGGATTTATTGATTCGTCATTAGGTTTGATAGGTGGCCGTCTGTTTCACAAAGCACAAGACAATTTAATCAAATGTCTTATGTTGGCTGACCACAAGTCCTAAACTAAAGATATTGCTGTAGAGGAACGAACACAACGGAAACATTTGAGATGCTCAAACCTTTAAAAATCGACTCAAAGCGATCGTCAAAGTTGTTGCCAAATAATTGTCTAATGGATTAATCATTGCAGCACTTTGTTTATCTTGTGATAACATCATCATGATATGATTCTCCTGAATATCAATGAGCAATATACTGAATTATCAGCCAGCTCATATTTACTACTCAGGTAAAATGTTTCCATGTATTTGCTTCCTGATTAAGTCCATTAGAAACTAATCAGATGCTCGTTAAACCATCAGAAGACGTTTTGTTTGTATTTACAACCTGAGATTGTTTTAGTTTCACTGAAGATAGTTAAGGACAACTCTCGTGTATATTCCATGTGATGAGCAGACGGCTGGGTGTTCGGTGAGGACAAATGGAAATATGCAGAACGACAGTCATTTATTTAAAGAGGAAGAGTCGTACGGTTTCCTCTTTTAAACTGAAGCCCCAACGCCACCAACATGTAGTACGTAGCGTAACCATACCCCCCACTCTCACATACACACACACACAACTCAATTGGGGCCTTTTCACTGAACAAAAGCAGTACACATCCGTTTGTGTGGGCAGACTCTGAGAATAGGAAGGGTGGAAGAGGCTCTTTTGGTGGCTGCACCTGTCCTATTTTATGAGGCTCTAATAAGCAGATAACAGGATGAAAAAAAAAAAAAAAAAAAGGGATGTCGTCCACTGAGGGAGATACAGACTCCACCCTCTCCTTATTTGACTGAAATTAATTAGATCCTCCTTTGAGGTCACGGCTCTGCAGTAGCCACCATGCAGGCCTTGAGATAGTGTGCCATTAATGGGTTGTTAAAGTACACGTCTTGTTTAATCTGAAGCTTTGCAGACAAGTCGACATGAATAAAATGTTATGATGATGCTGTTTTTGCTTCTTTTTTTTTTTTTTTATATTTCCAACTTCCTTTTAACCTTTCATTCATATCCAGCAGCTTCTTTCTTCCCACATGAGTGTGAATGGATGCACAGATCTGCTCCGACAAAGTATGGCCCTGTGCACCGTGTCCCATGTGATGTTGCTGCCCCCCTGTCCCACACGTGCTCCCAGGTATCTGCACGGTGTCCGTTGGTGAGTAGCAGCAGTGGGGCCCCACGCCTGCGCACTGGTGGAGAAAGTCCTCCTTTGCTATCCATGGTGTGGGGAGTAATTCAGCCATAATCCGCCTTTCTCCTCTCCCCTCTTCTTTCCCCTCTCCTCTCCCCCTCTCCTGTGGTTCCATTCATATTCTAATCACAGCTTTCGCTTCTCCAGCTCTCAGGCACTCCATCAGAGCCCTCCCAGCCTCGGGCTTTGCACTTTTACTTCCCCCCCTTTGTGACCGTTCCCTCTTCTCAGAGGCACACCAAAAATAAGGTTGCACACAGCGAAAGAGTGAGCGAAAAACAGGTGAGAATTCCACCAAAAAACATTCACACTGGATTTTTAGCATGTTTGAATGTGTGTCTGAGCACACAATATGTCAAATCTGTGATAAAGTTGCCACAAAGATGCTTTAATGGCGGAGTGAGGTGATAAGTAGACTAAATGCGGCAACAAGTGTCCGTGGGATGAGAAATGGGAGTTAAAATGAGAAGCAAAGGCAGGAGCGGAGGTTGTGTAGGGATGTATGTTTATATGGAGCTCTGGGGTGTATAAAAACGTATTAAATGCCATAATGGGAGACGGGGAGGCCACAGTGTTAGGACTGCGTAGATCTAAGCCTCTTTTTTTTCGTTGGGAGGGAGCTTTTCTTATTCAAAACAGCCCCACAAAAGACTTCCAGTGAGCCTTGCCACATCCCCATCTGACTTGGGGCCATTCATCAGCCTTCCAAGCCTATCAATGACATGTCCCCATCAGGGCTCCTATAAAATCAGCCCCTTTCCCATGAAACATCAGCAAACATTTTGACGGGTCTGGCTTTCCCCCCGCTGGATTTCTGGAGTCTCTACCCCCCTTTCCTCCCTTATTCCCACCTCCCCCCCCTTCTCCTCCGCCAACACCACCCCTCTCTGGGCGAACCTCAGATCCTCAACATCTCCTGTGACGGGCAGTGGTCACGGAAACACTGAGCGAGACAAGGGGAGAGCCGCCGAGGAGGGGGAAACGTGCACTAAGCCATTTTCTTGGAGGAACCAGTGTCGTTGATGGGAAGAGGATGCATTGCGGGCTGCTGGAGGAGCCTGATATGGATTCCACAGGTCAGTCCTGTTAATCTCTGCTCGCTTTGCTTTGTCTGGATGTGTTGAGAGAACCAGCTTCTGTTCAGAAACATTGTGTGAGCTTCTGAATCTGCTGCTGCTCTGGAAGTCTCAAACTTTCTCTTCAGTCATACAGAGGCAGTGTCTGGATGCTCGGTTGTTCATTTTTTTTTTTTTTAACCTTTTGATCACTTATTTAATTTCTTAATTTCTGAAGTTATTTATAAGTGTGTGTTGTTGGTCATGCACATTTATGAGGAGTGCTGTTATGTCATAAGTGTGTCACTTACTGACAGAAAGCAGGGAAATAGCCTTTGAATATTTTCATGATTGGCTCGGTCAAGTAGCTTCTTGCTGTTTTCAGAAAAAACAAATTGTAAAATTCTGGATTCATCTTTAGCAGAGAAGAAATGACAAAAGAGAGTGCACATCATGGTGGCCTTTAAAGTATTATGCATCTTCACTCAACAATTTTTTCTGTTTATTTTTCGTCCAAAATTGGAAAACTAAAGCTTTTATTCAACTTAAAAACTGACGACTAAACAAATCATGCAACAGTTATTTTTATCACAATTTATTAAAATGAGTAAATATGATTGATAGAATTAAATCATTGGTTAAAGAATACAAATTAATTTCTTGGAGGTGTGCAGGTGCAGCAGGGCAGACTAGTTCAGCCCTGCGTGTGTGTAAATAAATGAGTGTTGATCAAATTTAATCCAGTTATTTAGATCCCCAACTTATCTGTTCCTGTGGCAAATGAAGCTTGAGATCTGAGCCTCTGTGGAGAATTAGCTTCACTTCAGTGGATTCACTTTTTCATTTCCAGTTTTTTTTTTTTAGTTAAACAGAAGCAAATGCTGTCGGGCAAATAATGAGACGTGTCAGAAAGCCGTCAGTGACACTGGTGTTCTCTTATTCAGAGTTCAGATTGACATTTACAGGCGGTTTTTATTTAGATTGTGCAACAAGCATTTTAATTGACATGTAGAGTATTATAAATCAGGTGGCAATATATTAAAGGTGATGATAATCACAATCGCAGCAATTGAGACCATTAAAGAGCTTCCAATGATGATGTTCTCTAGCGTGGAGGAAAAGAAGTCCTCCCACGTCGGTTCAGAGGGCCGTGAGTTTGTGCGGCGGTGACGGGACTCTTAACTGCAGTCGGACGTTTTCTATCAACACGTGACAAACATGGAGGTGTAGATTCCTCACCGAGCCTGTAGACTTTTAAAACTTTTGATTATGTGTGACCTCCTCTCAATCCCCTCATGAGCTGCACCAACAGCTCGTCCTGCCAAAAGTCTGTCCTAGCAACAGCTGCTATGGGGATTGTTGTCAGTTGACATGCAGGAAAAAACACATTTTAAAGAAATATTTAGCTGAGAGTTTTATTTTGTTAAGTTACTAGTTAAGGAGTTTTTTTTTTTACTTAGGCAGTTTTGACTGCTCATTTGTATTTTAGGGTCCATCAAGTCTTCAGCAGATTTAATGGAAAATGTTTTACTTTTTATTCCATTGCTCTGCTTGGTGGCTCCTAAAGAAGATTTAGCTTATTGTTAAAAAAAACACAATTTAAACTCAGAAAACGAACAAGATGAATAATAATAATAATGTGCAGTCTATTTCCCTTAATTACATTCATCATATACTAAATACCTTTCTTGAAAGAGGAATTTTAAATGGATTTCCACTCTACGTATCAGGCTGTTTCTACATGAAAAGCTTTGGTGTTTTGCTGCTGCTCGGTCACAGAAAGCACACATGTTGAGCTATTTCTAAGTAGAAATTAAAGCAGCACAATGGCCTCTATTCCACCAGAATGCTTCAGTAATGTGCACAGGCTCTTTTAAGCGAGTGTGTACGCTTGTAGTCTCCTGGGAACAATGCTGGATTCCTGCCGCCCTGGTGAAAACAGCTCAAATAGAGCCATGGCTGCATCGCTGCCCATACAATCGATTGTAGTCAGCTCGCCTTGTCACATTAGGGACATTTAAAGTGTCCTGTATGGGCGGTGATTTTCACTGTTCATGTAAATACAGCTTCGGCTCTATTCTGCTGCAGGACAAAATGAGTTCACTTTCAGAAAGTGAGTTTTTAAATGAACAGTTTCCGTTTAAATTAATACAAAGAAATTGACCCAAACTGCTACAAACTTATGTTTTAGCTAAAGGACAATTAAAAGGCCCACGGTTACATATTTTAAAAAAAATCATATTATTTTGACCAGATTTATTTAAATAATTTTTCTGAGTTGTACTAAAAGGCGTCATATTCCAGTTTGTGATCTGTGATCCATCATGTCTTTTGTAGAGAGTTGGATTGAAAGATGCCTCAACGAGAGTGAGAGCAAGCGATATTCCAGTCACGCGTCTCTGGGGAACATGTCCAACGATGAACGTAAGCAGGCGAACACTGTTACACTAAACCTACTGACTGAACTGTTGTTAAACATCATTTATCAATCTTATAGTTAATGGGTTTAGTTCAATGAATGTCATTTAACAGTTTTTCAAAAAGTTTAGGTTTTGCCCATTGAGTTGGTTGTATAAACTTAGTTTTGCCCCTAAAATCCATAATGTGTTGTATGTTACAGATGAAGAAAAAGAAAACAACAGAGCCTCCAAACCACATTCGACACCGGCTACTCTGGAATGGTAAGTTGTCTTGTATATTGTATTTTTCTTTAGTCTAATCAAATGCAAGTATGGTGAATAATGTAAAAACGATGTTGCCAGTCTTCTAAAAAAAAAAGCCATAATTATTAGTAACCCACTCGCCGAATATATCAAGTCTACAATTTCCAATTTATCGGTTCGCATTTGATGTGAAAATTGCATTTATTTGAATTGTTTTACATGACTCACACAGATAAACACCACATTCTCTACACACTGGTTACATTTCTGGTCTTATTACAAGATTTACATTACGTGCTGTTGAGCCACAAACACAGATGTAAGTGACGACATGTTTGTGAAATGTTTGTTTTTTTTCCCTTTGTTTGAATTAATTTTGTATTTTAACAACATGTATGATAATTTGAGTTTAAATTGTAGGCTTGCATCTGACCATGACAAACTGATCAGATGAGAGTTTATGTTTTATTTGTCCTCCCGGGGAAGTTTGATTTTGACTCCATGATGCTGTTGAACAATAGAGACATCGAACACAGACAGATTAAAAAGTGCTGCAGCTTCGACATGCAACAGATCTTTCATATCCTTCGCATGTATAAAATTCAAACCCCACACATGCCTCTAGTTGTAAAGTGCCTGCCTATTGCAGAGCCCCGTGACCAATGACCCCATTTACTTAAGCATTCAACATGATCTTAAATGAATATTTATACTGATTTAAGCTGCGCGGTGGGGGACTGAAACCCAGTGTGAGGAACATTAGTTGGGTCAATGTATATATTTTTTTTTATAGAGAAGCATTATAGACATAAATGATAATGTCATTGGCCTCTGTAATAATTTCACTGTGCATATGGAGACTTTTTTATGTTTCTAGGGAAATCTACAACAAAATGTACTTACATTTTAGCACAATGTAAAAACAGTAAAAGTAACCATAGTTATGAGTTTTTGATTGATTTTTGTTGGTTTTCATTGTTCAACCGGGAAGAATATGTTTGGTCACATGACTGTTTGGCCACAATTTGCATTAGATTTTCAGAGAAGTTACTAAAATTAGCTTTATATATTTAAACCAGAGCAGCACAGAACATTAGTGAAAATGCAGTTATTTCTAAATAAAGTTGAATGGCTGTTATTTCACTGAAAATGAAATGGCCGTAATTATTGTATGAATGTGATTCCGACGACAGCTTTCTGAGTCAAAGGAAATGTAAGTCGGGTCATAGAGATCATTTCCCACGGCTCACTGAGACAATACAGTCACGGCTCGTAAAACGACAGGAGCGGGCTCTCACAGTAGCCATATAAATCCTCCAAGAATAATGTTCAATACAAGAGGCATTTATTTAGGACTGAGAGATAAGGTTACAAAAGCTCAGAAAGTCAAATAAGTCAACATTATAAGTGAAGCAGTGGGTACAAGCTAAATATATGTGATGACAACTGAAGGAATTAACGGAGAATTCGTCAGTGAAATATATATTCTTTATTTTAGTCATGATGCAGGGTCAATGGCGTCAGGATTGAATATGTAGTCTGTTGAGTCTGTGCAGGTCATTCTGGACCTCACACCTCTTTATTATCAATCTGTTGCTCATTTAAACATCAGATTTCTGTTCAGACCATCAGAGAAGTGACCTGGTACAAACTGCACAGGATGGTTTCCGCTGTTGATTTATTAGTGAAGGAGTTATTCCAAACAATTGGAACACAAATGTTTTCACTCATTTTAAAATATACACTAGTTTTCATATATGGCTGCCACGTCATCGTCATCAATAACACTTACAGACCTATTAGAACCTTTTCTTTTCTTTTTTTTCTCATTGGTAAAAATCGAATTACCTTAATATCTAAATGTGCCACAAAACAGGTGAAATAGTACCTCAAACAGGAAAGGTTGTGTTGTCATGGTTAATACCACATGATGCTGGTGTACCTCAAGGCTCAGATTTGGGTCCATTCTTATTTAGTTATTTGACCTTTTGTTGATACTTGTAAGTTGTACACATTGTGATTTTATATGTGTGTATGCTTTTATTAGCAAACTATGATATACAATCTGATGATTTATTGGCAGCAAAGAGGCTTTAGGTTAAATACAAACTTAAAGCAATGCAGCACTGACATGCTAACGGGTTATCAAGTTACAAAGGGCTTTACAGTAAAAACAAAGAATAAAAAGTAAATAAAATACAAAACGTGAAACTTTAAGCAGGATAAAATGATTAAAAACAATTACAAGAAACAGACACTGACAAATACAGAAAGCTGTGTTTTGATTTTCAGTAATGCAAATCAATTATATAGCTACATGACATATGATGTGCACCGGAAACCATTTACTGAGTGTTTTCCACACATAAACGACTTTAACCAAGTGGACACAGTAATGCCAGATTAGACTAAAACCAACGCAACCCTTATACAGGAACTGAAAACAGATCAAAAGTTGAACAAATCAGATCAATGTAAAACTAATGAAATGCAACCACTTATGTTGGGAAAATTACACGAAAATGCAGGTATGTGGAGTGCTTGGTAGCCAAGTGGTGACACGCATTCCTTATCACTGCAACAACTCCCCCTCCAGAACACATCAAACATTTTGCGCTGCCTGGAATTTATCATAATTTTTACAGTGTGGCTGTTAATTAGACAAGATCGCTTACTATCATCGGGGAAATGATCTTTTGGATTTTTGGTCTGTTACACACGTACATATTCCCCCAAGAGCAGTTGTTAATGTCTGTGTGATTATGCAATCAGTGGTATCTGTGATGTCATGCTTAGTGTCAGGTAAATGTGACACATGTAAAGTTGTGTGCCGCAGTACACATGCGGATTGATTGATACTTTAGCATCATATAGTTTAATATGATCAAATAGTTACTTATTTCACTACAGTTATTAGTGTAGCTGACATGAATGTAATCTGGCTTCTTAAAAATGGCCGACTTAAATTACTGCCCATTTTTCCCTTTATGTCACAACCATATTCGATTTTGTTGTGCACTGATAATTCCCATTATCATCCACAGGCTAGAAGAGAACTATGAGATAGCTGAAGGTGTGTGTATCCCCCGAAGTGCCCTCTACATGCATTACCTAGACTTCAGTGAAAAGCATGACACACAGCCTGTGAACGCAGCCAGCTTCGGAAAGGTAAGAATCAAACATCAGTGGAAATGAAGATTAAACAGTCTGGCAACTTATCGTTCCCTCCAGAATTCAGTTTTAACTCAAAAACATTTTGAATTGTCTTGAAAACGCATGCAAGCCATGAACTACATCTGTGGTCTTTTTAGAGTTTAAATATACATTCATACATGCAGGGTAAGTTTAAAGTAACCAGAGCAAAATGACTCAACGGGAGAAGATACAACAACAACATGTGGATGATGTATGAAAGCAATAATCTCATGCACTAAATCAGCATTAGTCTGACCATTTCATGCCTGGGCTGGGGTTTGTTTTTGGCTGCTGTTGAAGTAATATCAAATGCAGCTCAGTGTGAAGCGAGCAAAGCTCTGCGGCCGTTCACTGAACACATAATCTAGAGCCAAAGGAGATGTGCTTTCGTCTGTTCCCACAACCCCAAGAACTTCCTCAGCCTTCCTACCCCCAGCCATCCGCTGTACCCTGGACCTCCGGCCCCAACCCCCCAACCCGGCCCACCCCCACCCCCACCCCCACCCCTCCGCAGCTCCTGTCGGAAGATATTGAAAAAGAGAAGGGGCCTGGATTAATGTGTAATTAAAGGAAATTTGGAAGGGTGAGATGTTGCGGAATGTTAGATCAGTGGCTGGAGCAGTGTGGGGTGTCCTTTAGGAAGGCTTCATTGATTCAGGACAAAAAAACGAGAGAGGGCCCGGACTGCCTCCCTGTCTGCTCATTTATCAAGCGGGGCCTGACAGAAACTTCACAGCTTGGCCTCTTTTTTCATCCCACACAATGGAGAGCTACACTGTTTGCTAAAGTTTCTGCACCAGGAGTTGGACCAAGGAGCCAATCTCTTTGGACAAAAAGAGAGGAAAGGAAGAAGGAGGGAGTGGAGAGGAGAAAGAGAGTGAGAAGAAGAGAGGATGGGCGGGTGGATATATGAGGGGAGACTGTTGATATAGGACAAAAAAAAGTAATACCCCTGGATGTCATAAATGGATGGCTCTCAAAGCTTTTTTTTTCCCCTCACAGACCTCCCTGTGAAAACGGCTATGAGACTTTCGTGTTGTTGTTGAATTGACAAACTTTATGAAACATTTCCCCATTTTTTTCCTCTGAAAAATACACACAAGTTAATACTTTATAAAGAGCGTATTTGGTACCTCGTGTCACCTGTTTACATATCCTTTTCTTTTTCCTCTTTACTCAAATGAATTACTATGAAATGCTGATGTATACATTATATAACATCCTCCAAAAAGTTCAACCTGTCACTCTTCAGTGCCAGAACACTGACTAATGTTTTCTCTCCTACACTGAACAGATCATAAGGCAACAGTTTCCAGCGTTAACTACCAGAAGACTTGGGACAAGAGGGCAGTCCAAGTAAGTTGGTTTGGTTTATTCTTTGGTGAACTACCTACATGTTACACACATATTCACAAACCCTCTCCCCCCAAAAAACCCAAACAAAACAATAATTTGGAGTATGGACATGCAGAAAGAGAGTCTACTAAATGAAACAACCTATAAACAACATACAACACGAACAAGATTAAAGCACGAATCACTGAAAGTTAAAATAACATATTTCCATTGTGGTCGATGTAGTCTGATAGTAGTAAACATCTGACTACATATACCTTTCAATAAGATTATTTTGTTCTTCCAAACTATATAAACAAAACACAAAATCAGAGAAAAACACGTTAAAATCTGATTAAACTAACTTTTTAAGCAATGTTTTTATAAATTGTGTTTGAAGTTTTGCTTTTGCAGTTTTCTATCGCTGTAGTTTTAAGTCTTTGTACTTAAAAGATGTCCCTCTGCTCTCCTCAGGTACCACTACTACGGCATAGCTGTGAAGGAGACCTCTCAGTATTATGATGTGATGTACTCCAAAAAGGGAGCGGCGTGGGTGAACGAGACGGGGAAGAAAGAGGTCACGAAGCAGACAGTGGCGTATTCACCGCGCTCCAAACTGGGAACGCTCCTGCCAGAGTTTCCAAATGTCAAAGACCTAAATTTGCCCGCCAGCCTTTCAGAAGAGAGGGTAAACAGGAGTTTTAAAAGTCCATCCTTCCAGCCACCCCCCTTCCCACCTCTCCCTGCCATCTCACCATCTCTGCGCCCCCTCTGGCTCCAGCCTTTTATCTGCCTGGGACCTTCACTGGGTTTGCATTTAGAGAAGGACCTTGAGGATTTATATGCTGGCTCTTCACTAACTCTTAATCTTTTGGGGGAGATAATAAGATCTAGCAATGGACAAAGGACAGGCACTAGCTGTCCGGCTTTTAAAGAGGGGCCGTGATTTTAAATGGTTTGTGTTTTGCTGATCTCTAAAGCTCGTTTTATATTACTCCGCTCCTGCCTAGACCTGTAACATGTATTTATTGGTTCATATGCTTTTTACAAGATTTATTCTCTTGTTTTTGTACCACTTTGTTCTTTTTACTTTCCCCAAAAGAGAGAAAAAGCAGTTACGTTGTGATGCAATTAGGTTAATACTCTGTTGTTGCCCACAGGTGTCAACCTTCATCATGATGTACAGAACGCACTGTCAAAGGATACTGGACACTGTTATCCGAGCCAACTTTGATGAGGCAAGTTTCTTTTGTTTTAGACCATTTTACAGATCCAATTCTGTTTCACCAAACTAAATGTTTGATTGCATGTAACTAGCTCCTATCACTTTTAAAATGTTAAACAAATAACTTTTATTTCCTATGACATTGAATGGTGTGTGTGTGTCTGTGTGGTACTTTCAGGTCCAAAGCTTCTTGCTGCACTTCTGGCAGGGCATGCCGTCCCACATGCTGCCCGTCCTCGGCTCCAACACCGTGGTAAACATAGTCGGGGTTTGCGACTCCATCCTCTACAAGGCCATCTCTGGGGTGCTGATGCCCACCGTCCTGCAAGCACTGCCTGACAGGTGAGCACCAGTTGTACCCTTCACTCTTAGAATGAATGAATCGATACCATTTTCTTATCTGTTGTTACTGAGATTACATAGGATGCCATGTTTTGTTTATTGCATTGACGGTACAACAGATGTTTATTTTGCAGTGTGAATTCAAGCTGCTACATTAACACTGTCATAGTTATCATTTAGTTCAGGGAATATAGCTGTTTCATTATTATGAATAATACTATTCACTTTAATGCTTAATGGCCTTCTTGCTATAGTATACTTTTGACTATATTAACGGCATCATTTTTGAGTATTTTTGTGTAGAACTAATTTTGCAGTTCCACTGCATGTTTTGCGTAATGATCGGCATGAACATCAGTGAGGTTCACTCTAATTAAAAAAAATAAGTTAAAGGTTTTGCTTTGGTCTGGATGTTTAAGCACAATTAAAATGTAGCTTTTATTTATTGTAATTTAAATGTCAGACTGAAATGATGGGTCAACTTCTCAGTTAGTCAGTTGACAAAGTCTGCTTATCGTCGTATAGTTTAACGGGCAAAAACACCATCATTTATCTGGTTCCAGCTTCCCAAATAAACCATTTGCTTCTTTTCTGTCAAATACGAAAGTATGAATATCTTGTTTGTGTAAAAATTCATTTTTGTGCTTAGAAACAGTGATTTTGATCCACTTACTTTTCACCACACCTCAGATTGAGGTTGCTCTGTAATTTAAAGACCTCACTTTTTTATACAGTTTTTAGACTAAAAGATTGATTGTTTAATAGGCTGAATGGTAATTATAAATGGTGTCTAATGTAGTGACTATGTTCACGTTTTCTTTTATCCACACAGTTTGACTCAGGTTATTCGAAAATTTGCCAAACAGCTTGATGAGTGGCTCAAAATAGCACTTCATGACCTTCCTGAAAACCTGAGGAATATCAAATTTGAATGTAGGTATAAAATCCACATCTCATATCTTGAAAATTGCTATTTTTAAACAGAAAGTTTAAATGATGACACTCACAGGAGTAACCGTATTTATTCTCCTTTTTTGTTTCCAGTATCCAGGAGATTTTCTCAGATTCTAAAGCGGCAAACATCATTAAACCATCTATGTCAGGTGCCTATCCTGGTCTGAATGTTTTTTAATAAAATCCATATGAACAAACACAGCTGATAAGGGATATGGGTATGCTCTTGTAATATTGTCGATTTATCTGTCCCCAGGCGTCACGGACTGTGATAAACAGTGCCGACATCACCTTTCAAATGCTGGAGGACTGGAGGAATGTGGACTTGAACAGCATCACCAAGCAGACACTTTACACCATGGAGGACTCACAAGAGGAGCACAGGCAGCTTATTATCCACTGTAAGTCCTTGCTTTTAAACTGATTCCACTCAAACACACCCAGCCAGACGGAGAATTACACTTTACTGCCACGCAAACGACACAACGAGGGACAATCATTCCCACGACCAGCAGAGTCAAAGCATTAATGATGGAGACCAAGAGGTTAAACAAGTTCACACTCCTCTGAAACACCCTGCGGAGCATCTCCAATTCACTCCATTCTCACTCCTCCGAATCAGTCCCAACGGGATCAGAGGTCACTGATACGTAGCATTTGTCGCATAAAAATGCCATTTGCATTCATATTTTTCAGTTTTCTTAGTTTTCAAGTGACGTAAAGTACAATGTAACCTGACGTTCTCCCTCCTGTCACAGTGTATCAGGAGTTTGACCGTCTATTGGAGGAGCAGTCTCCAATCGAGGCGTACATCGAGTGGCTGGACTTGATGGTGGATCGCTGTGTCGTCAAGGTCAGATAGCATTTACTTTTTTTCACTCATTCGAGAAAAATAGGACTTTGTTCATTTTGCACTGATAAAGTTGATGTATTTTCTATGTTAGATGCTGAGAGGTGATTTTAACTAAACGTTTCAAGTGTTTGCGCAGCAGAAGTCTTGTTATTTTGCCCTTAAAAAATACACCTGCGGCTGAAAGGGACCCGCCTCTGCGTGTCTTTCTCACACAGAGGCACTTGCGTTGCAATCCTCTCAGTTAATGATGTCTTCAAGCTTCCCATTTGCGTCCATTATGTGCCAGATATGGGCTTGTAAAATTTGGTCGCCCTGGCAACATCTTGGACTGCCCAGACAATAGTTTTCAATAGGAGGGCGTGTCTCTGGGGGCAAATTAAATAGTTGACTTGTTGACATGTTTTTCGTTCCTGAGGGTTAAGCCCCAATGTGGACCCAGGGGTTAATTCTACGCCGGCATCCCGACCCTTCCCCCTCTTTTCACATGGAAATGTTCTCTCTAGGTGGCAGGGAAGAGGCCCGGGTGCCTGAAGAAGGTGGCCCAACAGTTCCTGCTGATGTGGTCGTGTTTTGGTACCAGAGTCATCCGGGATATGACCCTCCACAGCGCGCCCAGCTTTGGTGAGCTGCTCATGCTTTGTCATCATTCCTTAATGCAACAGACAGCCGGAAATACACAACTTTGACAATGCTTCATGAGTGTAGAGAAAATTAATTTATTGTAGTTTATTGTGTCATGCACATACAAGGGTCCACAGATACCATTGTAGTGGTGAAACGTGTCAGATAAAAACACAACTTCTTACATTGCAAATATAAAAATAAAAGCTCTTTTCCTAACTTACAACTCAAGCTTTTTATTAGTATCCATCCAGATGAAATCATCATCAAGTGTAGCCCTTAAATAATAATATAATGAGAGAAAAAACATGAAATAGACTTCAAATCACATCATAAACAAAAGAGCATTAAACCTGATTGTTTCTGTAGCTATAGCCGAGTTAACTGTGCACACTATGACTTTTTGTTAAATCCTGCTTCACATTAGGCAGAAGTTTGTTGTTTTTTGCATGAGGAATAATTTGCGCTGAGCATACTGAATAATACACACACAAAATAAATCATACCAAAATAAAGATTTTGCACTCCTTAATCCAGAGATGTTCATGTAAAATGTCCCAGTTAACGATATTCCAGTGAGCTGCGGTTCAGACATCTGACATTGATGTCCATATCACCACTGAACTGAAAACTGGTGTACGTTTATGAACTTCATACACGGTTCAGTGCAACCAAATAACCATTTCTCGATTCCTGTAAAGTGTGGATCTCATGTCTGAAATAAAGAGAACGGAAAAACAAGTAAAATGGCCACTTTGATAGATTGTTGTGCACCCCTCAAGGTTTGCAATAAGTGAAGAGTTGTAAAGATGAAAGAAAAGAAAATGGCTTCTCTTTCCTCTACTTGTGTCCTTTGGCCCTGTCTGTGAATATCAAAGACACAGCTGGTTGCAGTGTTTTGATAAAACAGGTCTCTGTGCACAAACAGCTAATTAACAAAAGCCTCCCCTCCCCTCTCTTGATGTGTTTGCCTGTCTTTTCCATTTTATAACCGGTCAGTGTTACAACCCGCTCCCTTGAATAGCCACAAGTGTTTATTGTGCGCACGGCGGCAAACAGCGACCCGCACAATGACACAATTGTGACACTCCCTCACATGCCACGGTCTCATCTTCCGTGTGACCCCGGGGTCAGCTGACATATTTCTGGCACTGACTCTGTACACGGAAACAAGCGCACTCGCTTCTTTTTAATAACAGCGGTCCTCCTGTCAGTCTGCAGGATGTGATGTCATCACCCTTGCTTTAGAAATCCTTCAGTCTTCACGGTCATCATCCTTTATGTCCCTAACCCTAAACACAAATAGCCCTTTGGTTTTTTTCCACATAACCAAGTCTCACTGTCAGCATGCACTTCCACACAATAACTTCCATATCACCTCTGAGTTTTCTTTATCGGTAAAGAACTCATCCTGTCCTATCCGTACGCAGGGTCCTTCCACCTGATCCACCTCATGTTTGATGATTATGTGCTTTACCTGCTGGAGTCCCTGCACTGCCAGGAGAGAGCCAACGACCTCATGAAGGCCATGAAGGTAGAGGGCAGCACAGGTAAGACTGCTACCTGGAGGTCTAATCAGTAAATAACGACAGAACAGCTGAAAAATATCTTGTGTAGTAGTAAGAGGTTTCCAAGAATTAAGTACCGTTATTTCTTTTAATCGTTAAATCCCAAACATTCAGTTCCAGCTCAGGAATTGTGAAGATTTGCTAAATAGCTTTGGTTTTGGACTGCTTTTTTTTACTTGTATACATTCAGGTACAACTGACAAAAGAGTTCAACCCTTTCGAACATAACTGCATATTTTCTCACTGTAGTAGATTGTGTAATGGTCTGTCCTCTCTTTACACCTTCAGCAGAGAGAGAGGAGGAATTCCCGCTGACAGAAACCACCCCAACCTCCCCGTCTCCAGGATCTTACTCTCCCGCTCGGTCAGTCCACTCTGTGGGCGTTTCCTCGGCCAGCTCCCCCACAGCAGCCGTGTCCCCGGAGTACACCGGAGTCACCCCCACCACAGGTTAGACAGGCCTCACAGGTCACACAGACATCCTAAATAAGCAGAAGTCTCACTGCACATAGTTTCTTTGAGCCAACACATTCTCTTTGTGTCCATATATGTGTCTACCAGGCGCTGTTCAGTCATATACCTGGTCCCTTACATACACAGTGACAACAGCCGGCGGCTCCACTCCAGAGGCCGGACAGCAGCTGTCCTGTATGAGTAACAGCGCTCCAGTCCCACCACCATCCTCCACCCCCCGGATGCCTGTCTACAGAGAGGAGCATGGGTAATTATGATTTTGGTATTAAGATTCATTTTCTTTTTGTTGGAGAATTTCTTTGATGGGTTTTCTACCACCTCCATTCTAGGTATACTGGGAGCTACAACTATGGCAGCTATGCCAACCAGCATCCTCACTCCATCCAGAGCCAGTATCCCAGTCTGGCCCACGAGCCGGCGATCACAGCCCCCCTCCACTATTCCGCCTACCGGTCATCTGCACAGGTCAGTCCCAGTGAAGAACTGAGGTTTAATAGCATTTTAAATCAATTAAGGAATGTTCTAAGTGAATGTGGATCAGTTTGAGCCTTTGTATGTTTGAACATACAGAGGTATTATCCACAAAAATGTACTTAAACATTCAAAAGTTAAAATAATCTTTCTGCAAAATGAACCTTTTCAGAGTATTATGTGTTATTATGCGTGTTAGTATTATTGATACATAAAATACATAACATATGATTTGTAATTTAAAATTGCAGTTGGTCGAGGTGGACTAAGTTTCTACTTACTGTTGGGTGGTTTCATCTATAACAGTTCTTCATATTTTATAAGATCATCTATTTTCTATGTAAAATCTTAATCTGCAACATAACTAGTTCTATGTAACTGGAGTCAAACGTTCAATATTTACCTCTGAAATATAGATAAGTATAAGAGTAAAGTAGCATTAAATGGAAATACTAAAGTAAAGTACAAGTATCAAGTCCAGTGAAAGCTGCAGATTACGCTGATGGCCATAGAGACTGTGTGTGTGTGTGTGTGTGTGTGTGTGTGTGTGTGTGTGTGTGTGT